GAAATTGTAAGATACAAAGCACGTTTAGTTGCCCAGGGATTTAAATAAATACGAGGTGAAAGTTATGAAGTATTTAGTCCTGTGGTTAATTTTGTTCTTGTAAGAATGTTTTTCACAATCTTAGTTTGTATGCTAGGATGGTATCATTCCCGATTAGATATAAAGTGTGCTTACCTTTACGCAAATTTGAATGAGGATGTATTTATGTATTAGCCTCAAAGTTTTGTTCATTTAAATAAGCAGGACCACGTTTGCCATTTAAAGAAAGCTATTTATGAACTCAAACAAAGTGGTCGAGAGTGATTTTTTTAATTGGATAATACACTTGAAAATTTAAAGTTTGTAAGATTAAAGTGGTGTAATTGTACATATGTATATATAAAAATGTAATTCTTATAATTTATGTAGATGACATAATAATTTTTGCTAAAACAAAAAATGAAGTAGACAGTGTTATTAAACTTTTAGGTGATAAGTTTGATTTTGATTTGAAAATTTTGGGTAAAACTCGTAAGTTGTTAGGTGTTGAATTTGTTCAAAAAGATGGTGAGATGTTAATACATCAAAAGAGTTACTTCCAAAAAGTTTGTAAAATGTTTTCTAGCTTTAAATTTCCTTTGTCATCGCTGCCGATTACTAAGGGTAACTTATTATCAAAAGCTGACTGTCCATCTTCTAAAAACGAAGTGGGCGAAATTGCGGTTTTGGAGCATTTTGGGTTGTTTGGCTTATATAGCTAATCGCACAAGACCGGATATATCCTATGCGGTAAATATATTATCACAATTTCAAGAAAACCCAGGTTTAAAACACTGGAATACTTTACTAAGATTATTAGGTTATGTTCAAAATACTCAAGACTATTTCTTAAAATTGTCAAATATTGAGGAATTAAATGTTGATTGTTACTGTGACTCAGATTTTGCTGCTAACAGGGATGACAGAATATCAGTAGGTAGTATAATATTGTTTTTAGATAAAACTCTGATATTCTTGAAAACTTTCAAACAAAAATGTGTGAGTCTTTCTACAATGGAATCAGAGTATGTGACTTTAACTGACGCTGCCAAAGAGGTAATGTGGATTAAGCGTATAATAGATTAGTGTGGAGAATTAAATTTAAAAGACTTAAATTTAAGTAATTTTATTATATTTAGTGACAATCAATCTGCTATTGATTTTTCTCATTCACCTATTGAAAATAGTCGAACGAAACACATCGACATAAGGTATAATTTTGTTAAGAAATTTAATTTATGATAAATTTTTTTGCTGTTAAACATGTTAGGAGTAAGTTTAACTTGGCAGACATTTTTGCAAAACCTTTAACTAAGTTAGAAGTTGAAAAATTTTGTTCAAAAGTATTTGTGAAAGTTTAATCTTTTGGATGGTTTCAGGAATGAAAAAACTTAAGTATTAGTTTAAGGAAAGTAAATATTTCTTTAGTTTATTGAAGATTTTGATAATCTGTATATGTGCATTATTTTATAAAAGTTGAAGGCATGAGAGGGGACCGCATGATAGACAAATAGGGGCTAAAAGGTATGAGGTTTGATTTTCGGTCGTCGATCTCATGCATTCAACTTGCGTTGGTGACGTCATGGTCTGCGAGGATCAGCCAGTTTATTTTCATTTGCTGTTGGTCATTCTTGCGTGAATCATGACGTCACCCGTTATCTGTATTTAAGCTTCTGTTGAAGCAGATCATTTGGGTATTCTTTCTTTTCTTTTCGTCACTCTGTGACATTTTTTATTACTAATGTTTTTAAATAAACTCATTTCTTCAGAAACTTCGTTTCTCTTTTTTTGAGTTGTTGACATACAGATATGATATTCTGAGAGAATCTTGGATGTCAATACTTAGCACGCTTATCGCTGCACTCGAAGTCCAACTCATTTGATTGTACAGAAAGACATATTTTTAAAAATCCACCTCCTCCATCAATACCCATTTTTAAGTGAACATCCAGTACATCTCGTTTATTTTTCACATACTGAACAAAAGCAGAAACATCTTTGCAGTAAACTCCAAGCGCATCCTAGACTTCATCACCTTTTATACAAATGAAAGAAAATTCCTTAAAATCAAAAGAATCGTCGACGGAATGAGCTGTGATATTAAAACATATCATCCACAGATAATGTAGAGTTTGTTGTGGAATTTTTTTTTTTTAAATTATTATTGCCTACTGCGATTTAAAGTGGTTTCCCATAGATTTGCGACAAACTGAAGGCTCCTGATCACACTTAGAATCTTCTTTTAGTTTTCCTTTAATCACACGTGACATAATTTGATTCTCCGCTTTTAAAGGTGCATCTGATAAAAAAATTTGAAAGATTTATTACTCCAGATTTCAAACCACATTTATGTGGTTTGCCTTTTCCAATCTCACTGATGCTAACATCGCACCGTTTTGTCGCAGACAGTTGTTTAGACTGGTCTAAAATAATGTATAAAAAAATTTTGTAATTTAAGAACAAGCTAACAAAAGAAATATTTTTTACTTCGAAAACTGGCGTGAAACTTTTTTTGCAACTTGCCACAAATTTTAGCGGGTATTTCGCGTGCAATTTCACAAATTTTGCAATCGCATCTTGATTGCGTAACCTGCACAGGCTTAAAAATAGACAAATCTGGAGATTCAAAATTTTTTTTCAGTCTTGGCTTTAAATACTTTTCTTCTGCACGTACAGCACACAGTCACCGGCAATCTACGCTCATCATCATAGTTGTCAACGTTATTTTTCATGCCAATTTTGAACTGATTCTCTATAATATACATTAGTTTTTGTTTTCGAAAACACAGGAAACATACTTTACCCCGATTTTGATCGTGAGTCAAAGCTTTAGACATCTTTCACTGAACAATTATACACGTTTTATCAGTTTTTTAGATACCAAACAATTGATTGATAACTCGCTCTGCGACACAAGGTTAAACGTGTTTTGTTAGCATTAATTTCACAGTGTTTGTGTCGCTAAAGTCGATTTAGGTTTTTATTATTTTTATTTTTTAAATAGTGGTTCATCGACTATTATTAACTCTAAACTTCTAATAATTGTAAAATTTATTATAAACGGTTATTATGAAAATTTAATACAAATATATATATATATATATTTTATATTTATAGATAAGTATAAAATGATGCTAACATTCTTGAAATATCGTACTTCGTGAACAAAAATGTTCAAAGTGGATTTTTTGGAAATCTCTCCTCAGATTATTTTAATTTTTCGATTTTTATTATCTAAGAACATTGTAAATTCAGAATCTCTTCTAATTTTCTAAGTGTAAGAGCATTTTATTTAATTTTAGTTACGGTACACCTTGTTATTCAAGGTAAGTGCCACTGTTGACATATTCTGCCATGCTATGCTATAGTAGCATCACTTAGGCACTTATTGATCTGTCAAGTTATTACATCGGTCGCAATAATTCCAATTTAGTTTTTTAATTGAAATTATAAATTGTAAAAGTCATCAAAATAAGGTATAATTTAAGAATATGTCTATGGAACTATCTTACAATTATTTTTCAAAAAGAGTTAAAGAAATTAGAAAAGCTGAACTAATGCACAATTCTCTTGATAACTACTGATTATATATCAATATCAATAATTTTTAAAAAATAACTTTGACAGTAGTTTAAAAAATCCGTGTCGGACTTTTACCAGTAGGTGTTGGTTAGTCCTATGTTTTACTGTAAAGGATTGGTTAAAGTCTGATATGGAATCGTAATGAAGCATACTTACTACTCTATCTTACTCATGTCTCTTTGATAGATCCTAGGTTTTATCAGACTTACAGTAAAATATCAACAACAAAAAAAGAAAAAAGAGGCCCACAAAAAATTAAATTATTTAATCAATAAATTCTTAGGAAGATTTGGCATTTGTAAGTTTTGATTACTTCCGAGCAGTGGCTTGCAAGAAACTAAAAATAGATAATTTAGAAGCCCTGTGGCAAAATTTTTTGAGCTATCTGCGACAAAACTCTCCAGCACTAATATCTTACTGCAAGATACTTTTAATACTAACTTATGTTACTCATATATCTTAGTATTAAGCATATATGTTACTCATTTAAAATAACAAAAGTGCTGTGTTTACAAAAATAACTATATAATTTTTTTAATTAAACATTTAATAATTTTTTATTCTAATATTATGGGTGATATTCTCGCATTTTGTGGGGCGGGGAAGACACAAATTATTTACTTCTTCGCACTTTGTAAATAATTTTCACAATAAAAAATATAAAATAAAAAAATCATGAAATCCGTTGTAGTAATTTCCGAAAAAAAGATGGATGACGAAATTATGCGGATTAGGCTCCTCAAATGCGTGTTTCGTTTTGAGATTACCTTGTTGTAATATATTATAACGCATAAAAAATATCGGATTTAAGAAAAATTATGGAGAAAACAATAACTGCCAAAAACTCGATAGAATTATTGCCTTAAAAAGTAAGTACTCAAATGCACGATTCGAATTGTTTGAAATGTATCAGGATATTTAAAATCCACTTGAAAATCAATAACTGCCGAAAATGCAAACGAAGTATTACACTGATTTACAATACTATCGGCGTAAATTGAGCGCGTTAAAGGGTGATTATCTAAATGCATGATTCAACTGTTACATGTAAATTTCTGTAAAAAAGAAAAGTAATTTTTTTTTTTCTAAAGGGAAATCTTTCTGCGGGAACTCTGTAACGTTCTGCGACAAGGTCGCTGCGATTCTGCTACGGGGCTAAGAAGAGATCCAACCTGAACAGCATGACCTGTCCCAAATAAGCTTTTACATTTTTTGAAAGAAATTTCAAGTTAAAAATCCTTTTGGCAGCTTGGAGTTGACGTAAACAAAATCCTGATACAAAATAACAAATACCGATTGTGAAAAACTTCTTTTTTAACATTATGAATAATTATTTTCATTTATAATGTTGAATAGTTGTTTATAATTATTAAAAGAAATTGCTTATTTGAATTTTTCAGAATGAAGGTACTGAAATAAATAATCCAGATAAACTGAATGAAATCGGTTTCTACCTTAGTCAGACTGTCTCTACAAGCTATGGGCAAGCTTATTTGAATAATAATCTCTATCTAAAGGACAAAAGGAATGATCGAATATGCGATCTTCTGAAAGTAACAGATTCGTCTTTAATTAACAAGATGGAACTTTATTTGAGTGCCATACCCAAAGGTAATATTTTGTATTTTATGAGTTATTCTTTTACTATTTAAAGACAAATCTTTATTTTGCTGCATAAGGAAAAAAAAACATTTTGTTTAGCATTAGTGCACAACCTTTTACGGAATAAAAATAAATAAAGAAACATTGGGAGGCCTAAATAAATTTAGTTTTGGTACCGTGATGGTTTTGTATTGTGGTGGTTGGTTAATGTTCAGGAGACTAATCTTTAAAGTTTATATTATTTTGGTATTTATTAACATTGAAAATATTAAAGTATAAAGAAGAGGAATAGGAATCAGCACATCATGATACACTGACAACTTAGATTGTTCTGGCGAATGAAAAGTTAGAGTTCAAGTTCTTGGTCGTAACTGTCGTGGTTACGATTAAGTTGAGTCGTTGCACAATTAACAACTTAATTATTCAAAATTGCAATAATGGTATTATCAGTTTGTCTTAAAAATTAAAAGACAATGTATATATATGATATTCTTTAATTTAAAAAAAAAAAAGGATTTGTTTTGCTTGCTTTGTCATGTATAATAATTATTGCCGGTTTTCAGTTTTGTCTGTAAAAAAATAAAGAATTTTTTTTTCCTTGTAAATGAATTATTGATATCTTTATTTTTTAAATAAATCCTAGAACCACATTTGTTTGGGTTAAATATATATTTATTTTAAAAAAAAATCAAAATATGAAAGGTTTAAATTTTTTGACAACTCATTAGTACTTCTAAATCTTACATTTTTAAGTTATAATTTCATAATTTTTTTCAAAGTAAATACCTGAAAAGCAGTTTAAAAGAGAGCTATAAAATTTATTATATTTGTTATGTAGTATTTTCTTATGAATTGTTGGTTGCAATTGATGCCAGCATTTGACTTCCGGGGTGCAGATTATACATTCCTAGTTTTTTAATTAAAATTTAAAGGCTTACGTTTGATTCTTTAGTTGACATTTCTTTTCATTTATTTTGTTAACTTTTCCTCTAAAAGCATTTACTACAGTTGTACAATCCTACATTTCTTATTTTAGTAAATAAGCTTATAAAACTAATTATTAGTTAATTTGACTTATTTTGAAGAAAAATAAATGGCAATAAGTTAAAATAGTAATTTATATTATTATTGTAATGCTCAACTCACACACACTTCTTACTTTTAAAATTCATATATGTATGTAAATTCTCTCTTAAATGGGCTTTTTGTGTTTGAGCTTTAAAAAAAAAAGGTAGTTTAATGCATATTTTATTTTTGCAGACTGGACTGTGGTTCAAATCAATGCTGTACCTGATAAAGATTGGCTTGGCGGTGCTTATCAACAGCCAACCTTTTCTAAATTGATCATCACACAATATCGCTCAAAATTATCTCCGCTAGTGATTTGTGTAGACAGTTCAACTACTGGCGGAGTAAGTTAAAATGATTAATGTAAAAAGTTTTCTATGAGTGTGGCATATTTGTTTCTGTATTAATATTTCAAAATTCTACTATCATTCATTATTGATTATTTTATTACATTTTTCTAATTTCTATTTTTTCAGTTTATCTTTGGTTTAATGACGGAGTTTCAAGATATTTTATTGCAAAGCTCAATAATTATGAAAAAAACTAATAATCATAAGAAGTGGTGGCAAACTCGTTCTTCGTTGGATGCACGTCTGAAAGTAAAATTTTAAATCACTTAATTTTTATCTTTTGCTTCATTTTAATTTGGTGTTAAATTATTGCAGTAAAACATTGTTTTTTAATTTGTAATTCATTTATAAAACGAACCAAAAGGAAATCATTTTGATATTTTGTTTAATAATTTTTTTTAACAACTTAATTTTGATAAGCTAAATCTATTTCTATATTTTGTTTTAAATCTATTTTTATATTTTGAGAGAAATTAAAATAACACTTCTTGGTGCCAGGGCTTGATCTAGAAAAGCGGGGACTCTAGGCTCTAAACTGTCAGGTGCCCCCTTGTTGATACCAAATTTACATGTTGTTTAATTGTGAAGAGTTCATAAGTTATTTTTAACATTAGATAATTACAATATGTAAGTGAATTTAAGGTTATACTTAGTTCAATTTTTGTGAACTTTTGTTTCAAATAGACAATTCTTAAGGAAAAACATAGAATATATTTGTAGCATTTAGAGAGCCCACAAAAATGTGGGGTCCTAGGCCTGGGCCTTTTGATAAATCAGACCCTGCTTGGAGGCGCTTCATTTTGGCATGATAAATCAAACCTTATGTATTTTCCTTTAAAACTCAGCATTTTAAGAGATAGAATTTCTAACTCGCATTTGATTGCCAATGGCGAGTCATTGCCATTGGCGATCAAATGCGAGTTGGCAACTGAACAAATTTTAAGGCCTGTTGTAGAACATTCGTGCTGAATCAGTCCATGCATCATATTTTAAGAAAGCTTTCTCAAGAATTTTTCAATCTGTAAAACCATCTTTATGAATGCTTTTTATTATTTTTCTTCTTCTTGTTTTTAGAGTTTGTTAAGTAGCATGGAGAATTCTTGGTTAGGATGCTGGAAAGGTCTTTTACTTGGTACTCCAGTGAGTGAAGAAAGAAAACAACAGCTTATGCTCTCTGTCAATAAAATATCAGAAATTTCAAAGCCCTTGGATGAAAGACTTCTACAGGTATACATTTTTCCACATATATTCTTGTTTTACTCAACAAAGGCTTAATGCCCAGCTATGATTATCACAAGCAACGCCGGATATAAGTTAGATGGACTGCTGCTTATTGCCCTGAGAACTGCAGGGGCTCCCCCAAAATTAAAAGATCCCTTTTTTAAGCATTGCTAAAAGCAGTCTATTTATGTAATATAATCAGAACAAGTAATATAATCAAATGCTTCATTAAAAAAGACGATTTGATGTTTATTTATTAACAGTAAAAAAAATTATGACAGTCTGCTCTTGGTGTTTTAAAAATGGGGTTGTAAGCAGAAGAACCCCGCTACGCATCAGAAGTCTAGAATTCCATCAATGCTGTTTATGAGTTTTCATTTGGATTTTTTTTTAACAAAATACTGAGCATTAATTCAATTTCTTTCCTTGCATCAGTATTTATGAATGAAATATTTAAAAAATCTTCAAATGAAATTCTTTCTTTAGGGTTCGAACTGGGCTAGTGAAACCTGATATTGTCAAGGAATTTGATTTTGGGATAAAAAGTCAAGGAATAACTCAATTTTAGGCCAATATCTTGAAAAATTTTGCAACAAATCTGTGGGGAAAAAAATTTTCAAAATTGACAATAACAATAGTTAGCCAAAGATGTTCAAAGTAAATAAGTCTTTCTTTTAATTATTTCTCGAAAAAATGATGCTGAGACATTTTGAAATATTTTTTTTCCTACAAATTATTGAAATTGGACTAATTTGTAAAAATTACTATAATTTGAAAATGTCTTGTTTTAGATTTTTTTTAATGTATAATGTCTAGCCAAATCTACAGTTTTATAATATTGGGTTTTAATCATGAAAATTTGTTTGTCATTAATTTTTTTTTGCATTTACATTTCAATTTTTCCAATTGCTTTTTCTTATTTGTTTATCCATTATGGGACCTCGGGGGCTCAGTCAGTTTTTGTTATTACCACTGACAAGACAGGGCTCCCACGGTCCTTAAAAGTCCTTAAANGGGACCTCGGGGGCTCAGTCAGTTTTTGTTATTACCACTGACAAGAGAAAGACTCAATTTTAAAGGTGTGTTGGCAAGCAGTATGTGTCCCCTGATGAAGTGCTGTCTTGCTAACCCACATTTTTGTTTGTTTTCTGCTAGAATAGTATTTCTGACATTCTAAACTATCTTAATAATTGTGTTTCATGGTAATTTTAAGTTTTTCCAATTTTTGTGAGAAATATTGTTTTTATCTATAAGTTACATATACTTGAGTGTTAAAAGTCAGGCATGTTTAAATCTTTGCCTAGCAAAATAGTGTTCCTTACGGAACTTAATGTTTGACCCATTTTCTATCAAAATGTAAGTTTCATTGCTTAATAAGTTATATATAGCGCAATAAAGATGAAAAGGATAAGAAAAGAGAGAAAAACAAAGAGAAATAATGAGTGCTATTTACTGTACATAAGCTGCAAGTATATAGATCTCACAAAATAAGTTAAAAAATATTGAGAAAACAAAGAATATAATGTTATAAAGAGTAATGAAAAGAGAATAAGAAAAATTATTAAAATAAAATATTTTTATAAAATATGTATTAAAAAGCTGGAGATCAAAATATGGAAAAGATATAATCATGTGAGCTGATGACGAGATTATATCTTTTCCATATTTTGATCTCCAGCTTTTTAAAATATTTTATTTTAATAATTTTTCTTATTCTCTTTTCATTAATCTTTGTTCGATAATTTTCCATGCTTTCTCTATATTTTTAACTTATTTTATGAGTTCAGTATGGGCTTGAGGTAATGTGGTATTAACTTTTCCTTATTGTTTCGAGATTATTACTTATAATTTTTTTAAATTTTCTTTAGAAACTAACAAAGTATTAATGACAACTAAAATTCGTAACAGTTATAACATGTAGACAAGTAAATATGTGTGTTATAATAATTATTAAAAAGTGGTATTTAGGGATAACTTACTTAGTCTGAAATCGTAAATACGAAATGGTTTTTTTACCAGTTCTTTTACTTTTTCAACTAATTAACTGCTCTGATTATATAAAAGTAAATGTTTTTGTAATTTTTTTAATTATATGTCTTACTTAGAAATCTACAACTTAAATAATATCAAAAATTCTTATGAACTCATGAAAAATAGTTATAAATTTTATTCTGTATTCATAATGAAGCATTAAGTTTTGCATTGGAATGAAAAAAATATCTTGTCACACAATGTACTGTTAATTCTTTTCTTTTTTTTCTGTGAAATCTTAAATATTGCTTCTTTAACTTTATGAATAATAAACTAAAACATGAAAATTAATTTTGTCGATATTTTTATGCTTACTCTATGCCTGCTTAATGTATTGATTTATAATCACACTTTCTTCCTCTTAAATCTTCTATTCAATTTTTGCTTTATCTTTAAAGGTTTTGCTAGATTCTGCCTCTTTTCTAAAACGGGAACAATTAGCTGCCTGTATTTGTCATTTATGGAGTTGTAAACCACACCATGAAGTATATTCAAAACTTTTCAAGGCTGTTATTGAAGAGAGCAAGAAATCAACTACAAAGAGGAATCCTGTTGTTCTACTTTTGGACAAAGTAATTTTTTTTTATTTATATCTGTGGAATCAAATATATATGAGAAACGTAAAACTTATTATAAATATGTCTCTCTTTTTTTTCTTGAGGGGGAGGGGATCATAAAATTGAAATTTATTAGTTGTCTACGTCTGTACGAGTCTATACTAGAGGATTATTAAATACTTTTCCCCAACATATGAATCCCTTCAAAAGGACAAAATTATATTTTCTAAAAATGCACCTTAAAATATACACGAAGAAATACTGTTAAAAAAGATTATCTATCTTTCTTAGTTACAATAGCATGATTTCAAAATTTTTAAATGACACCTGTGTTTGTACTGTTACTGTGAGTTAATACAGTACAGAACCCATTATTCGGAAATCGGAAAACCAAAAAACCGGAACGAAATTCGATGAATTTTCCCGCAATTTTTTAAAAAAAAATTCCCTCATAAGATTTTAGGATTTTTCTTTCTTTTTTGAAAGATGTTTACCTTACCATCATTTCAGAAATAATCACAGGGCTGCCATAGGAGACTAAAGAGGCGACTAAAACGTCTATTTTAAAGCAATAGCAACTATGGCGACTATTTTAGTAGAAATATGAGTAAAAACAACTAATTTGCAATGACTTGCTTAAAATCGGCCACTTTTTTAAGCCAATTCGCGACTAAAATGAAGAAGAGCTTCATGAGTTTCCCCCTTCCCCCACTTTTTTTTGCCGCGCTTTCGTTTTATCCTAACTTTATTATTTCTCACTGTTTGATGTCAAAAGCATGACAGGCATATTTGACCAATCAGACTGGTGGAATTGGTATTCGCACTACGTGAATGCTCCTCCTGCTTCAGAAAGCTAATGTAATATCTCTGAGGATTATGTTTTTTCCCCTCTTTTAATTGAACGAAGTAGCAAAATTAGAAAAATTGTCTTTAATTACTCAAAATGTGTTGTTAATTTTTTTAGAGCTATTTGGAATAGAAAAAAAGGTATATGGTGATATTCGTTTTGTCGAGTTGTGATCGTAATTTTTTTAATAATCATTAAAATTTGGAAATGTGTCAGTTATAAAAAATAAACAAAATAAAACGGAATTAAATTGCAATATTTCTTTCTTTTTTTTTTTTTTAAATATCTAAACTAAGCAGCTGCAAATTAGAACCGAGAAAGGAAATTCAAGTTTCATATTCAACTGTTCTGTAACAGATAAAAATAAAACTCCCTGTTTTTATGCGTAGTGTGAAAGAATATATTGTTTGCAAATCCACAAATAAATGTACATTTTTTATAAAATATGAGTATCTAACTGCATGTTATTTGAACTTTATGCTATTACAGAACAAATAATTAAAATTATATTAGAAGAGGATATGATGTTAGCAACTATTTTATATATCTTGGAGATTATTTAGGAGACTTTTTTTCATATATGATGCAACTAAAGCAACTATTTTTCTTGTTTCCATCCAGTGACAGCCCTGTAATCATTAGTGTATTACCTCATCGTTTTTTCTTATTTTTAAGATTATTTCCAAAACGAATTTTTTTTTTTTTTTTAGTTGGGTTTAACACTAAAAAAAACGGTTTTTTGTAGCCATTCAGAAAACCAGAAAAATCAGTTATCCGGAATAGCGATAGTCCCAATCGTTCCGGATAATCGGTTCTCTACTGTACTTCAATGAACTCTCCCTTATGCACCGGTGTAAGGGGCCAACAGAAAAAAGCGCGTAAGTGAAAGAGTCGGATAAGTGAAAAACTTCAAAATTCTAAAATACAACGTAAATTGCAGTGACAATATGAATAAATATGTTTCTAAAGATTAAATGTTAATATTTATACTGTTTTGGTATTTACTATAATTATACAATAAAAAAATATAACATGCCTGAAGATAATTTATTTTTTACAAAATAATCCTTAATACATGTTTGTATTCGTTTTTGCCAATGTATTTCAAAAACAGTTTTTTGCAATTCATATAAAGGGGACAAGGGAGTTTCAGAAGCAGAATTAATTTGTAAATAGTCACGAATAGTGTCTAAAGCTTTTAATACTAATGTGTTATTTGGCGGAATTTAATCATCCTCGTCAGTATCATCCACCATGGTCTCATCGTCCACAAGTTTAAGTTAGATATAAATGAACAGCTCTTCACAAAAAATTTGATTTTTATGGGAGGTGGTGAAACATCACATGATAAATTTCTAAAGAAAGTACTTGACGTCATAATATGCTGCACAATAAGTTGTTCAATTACACTAAACAGACCACCTCTTTTTATTTACTCAAGTTGTCCATCTGACTGCAAGTAAGTGATCGCGGTCTCTTTCATATTCCAGGTGTCTCTTTTTTTTTTAGAAAACAGCATGGGAGTAAAACTATCCTCAGGGCAAGAGGAATGGTCATTTTCTTAAAGATGAATGGGCTTTCATTGTTGTTGGTGTAACAGATGAGACACCCTATTCAAAATTGAAAAAAGAATGTCTGAGTAGAAACAGCAAAAATGAGAGGGTCGCAGGGGGAAGAAAAGTGAACTATTCAATAGGATTGCTTATAATGACTTCAATTTTTAATTTAAAACCTTTTTTCTTTTTTAAAAAAAAAAGAAAAAATATATTTAAAGGATAAAACAACTAAAATGTTAGCCTAAAGTTTCGGCGCATAATTGAAAAATTTATTTTTAGAGCGACGGATAAACGAGGGATGTTTATCATTATTTTCCTACCTAATGTACTGGGACCTATAAAAATCGTCATATAAATGAAAAAGCATAAAAGAGGTGATGCATAAGTGAGAGGTTACTGTATTTATTTCTGACTATTAATTTAAATTGTTAACTGTTAAAAGTGACATCACTGTTATATTTCTTGCTGCCACGTGATATCGCGTGATCTGACAATGAACGAGGTTGAATGTGTTTTATGGTAGTTTGTCTCATGCTTACACAATCTCTCTTGTTGCTTCCAGTATCTGGACTTAATATACTTTTAATTGATGTTTCTGTAATCAAATAAAATATGAAAAAATACAGTATTTGTTCAGTAAAATTCCTTTTGACCTTTTTTTTATACATATATATTATTTTCAAGTTCGAAGAGAAAACGTATTTTTAATTTAGGTAGAAAAAATCCTTCGCCAAAGCATAATTTTTTTTCCTGCTGATTTTACTGTTTTATTACATATTGGCCAGATGGTGAATGCTTAGCATGAACCCTGAATAGAGTGTCAATATTCTGGATAATACTGACTAAGGTCATGCTAAATTTCACCACAGTAGTTAACCTTCCACGTATGACTCTCGCAATTTGAGCTGGGTATCAGTTTCATCCTCGACTAAGGGTCACGCAAATACCGCAGGCGAAGAATTTTTTCCCCTTGTTTCAATACTGATCCTGCTATTTAACCCCCATGTAGTTTTAAAAAAACATCATTTGATGCTTATTTGCGCTGCTAGATGGCACTAGAGGGTTCAGGAATTTTTTTTTTTTTGTTGATAAATGAGCCGTACGTTGAGGGTTAAAATGTTAATCAATATAAAATTAATTAAATACTGCACTGTGCTACATCATAGAGTGTCAATATTCTGGATATTGCTGTCTAAGGTTGCATGCTAAATTTCTCCACGGTTGTTAAAATGTTAATTAAAGTTTAATTCTTTTTTGTCTACGTCTTTTATTTAACCTAGATTTTTTATTTGTTGAAACTGTCTATTTTTTAAAACTGTGATTATTTTTGTTTTGTGCTTCTGGCAACTTCATAACTAATATTCTACATGGCTTCAAGCCTATCTTTTTATAAAAAAAAAGTAAAAAATAAGCCAAACCTTTCTTTGTAAAAGAATATAGACTATTACACTTAAGAGAATTAACATTTGGTATGCTTAGCTTACTTAAAATAGAACGGAAAAAACAGTTGCTAATGTGAAGAAATGCCACTTTTCTACAGCCAATCAGGATCCATACCCAAGATGATATTAATTGCAGGCATCCTATTCTGGATGCTTTTTCATCTGTAAGCTTTTAAAATATAATTAAGTTATCAGAATCATAGCGTTTCATAGGTAAGAAAAGATAGTGTTTGAGAACGAGAGGTTTCTTTGACTCAACCAATACATAGAATAAGAAGAAAAACGAATTACTTTATTTCCCTTCATATGATGGAAATCGTTTTTGAATGCTTCTGCCTTGCAGCTGATGGTAGGAAGAGGAAAATCTAGCTTTTATCCTTTTCTATTTCCACCCTATTTTACATGGCAAAATCAATATTATTACCTTTTTTATTGATCCCTATTCTTCCTCTTAATCCTATTTCCTTGATCGCAATTTTTTCTTAAATGTTCCATAACGATTTTTTCGCCAGAATTTTTTTTTTTTTTTTTTCAAATACCATTTGGTAAAATGTAGCAAAAAAGCCAAAATGTGTTGTTTCGTTTTAGCATTTTTGATGAACCCTAGTATGTGGTCGTAAATGTGGACTTCATTGCTGCGATCGTACAGTTGATCATAAAATTGTGGTGCCTGAACCTCCTTGACCCTCTTGGCCAACAACTAGCTGTATGCGAGACTGCTAGAATTTTTAGTGTTGTTAAAAAGCAGAGATGATGAGAGCTAGATGCTGCATTGAAATCATTTTGCTCTCTTCTTTCTTCCTCTTGTTTATGGAACGCATTTTATAAAGCTAATTATTGTTAAATTTTAAAAAATTATAAGATACCTTTTTTTTTATCTCTTATTAGCATAACTCCCTTTGAAATGTTTTTCTGTGAGGATTATGATTTGAAAGGTTTGTAATTTTAACTAATCAGAACACTGGGATAAAAGTGATTTTAACCACCCAATAGAGGCGAAAATGTATCAAAGGTTTTGAAAATGTGTCGTAATGAGCTTAAATTTTTATAATTAATTTTTAATTAATTTTTATTTTTTACTATTTGTAATTTAATATTACTTAAAAAGTAGAAAAAATGTAATAGTGCTGTTTAAAAAAAATTACGCATTGATAAGTTTATGAGGTTAATTAATTAAATATGCTTTTGTCATAAAAATGTTAAAAAAAGGAACATGCAATTGTTAAATATTAGCTAGTTGCAGTTGAAACATAAAACATGAATTCATTATATCTAGCATCATTTGCTCCCTCAACAATTAGTTGAAGAGAGAGTGAGTAGTGTATAGTTTTATGATTTTGTATCATTTTTATGATGTATTATAATTATAGGATATTCAAGCATTACCATGGGAAAGTATTCCCATCTTGAGTGGTAATCCTATTACTCGCATGCCATCCCTTGGAGTTTTGAGTGCACATCTAAGTCTGCATGGAGAAGATTCTATCTTTCACAAAGGGATGGATTGCAACAAAACTTATTACCTTCTCAACCCTAAAGGAGACCTGCTTTATTCTCAAGAAATGTTTGAAGGAAAATTTAAGCTGTAAGTTTGTTTTAAAATAATTGTTTCAAATTATGCATTCTGGTATTTAATTTACCACCTGATTGTTATTCCTAGGGTTTTTAGAACTTTGGGATGGTTGCTTTGCAGAGGTGTAACTACTATTTATCTGTAATTATTATGATTTCATAGTCAATATTATGGTCTTGCGGTTAAGTAACAAAAATTACAACTTTTGAGCCTTACAGTTTTACCTTTATGAAATTAAATAATACAGTTGAAAGTCCAATATCAGGAATTGTCTGGAAAGTAGGTTTTTTTCGGATGGTAGGTCTTTAAGGTAAACAAACATCAAAGTGTGTTATTTAATGAATCATCAAATTACTATTCGATGTTGATGATAATTAACATCAATTTCATACTACAAGGTTAAATGACATTTATAAAAAGGTTTGATCTGATTAACTATATATTTACATAATAAGTAGATAAAAGTAAAAGTCTAATTTAAACTTTCGTTTTCATGAATAAAATTATGTTTTCCTCATGATGTGTACACGTAGTAGCACAGATGATCGAATAAAAATAACATTAAAAAACGAGCTATTCGAAAATTCCAAAACTAATCTTATTGAATAAAAAAATAAATAATTTAAAACAAAGAATATAATTGAGTAGATTTTTTTAATGAAGACATCTACATAATTTAAAGAGAGGCAAATCTCCTCTCCTGATGTTCTTTTCAAACACTATTAATATTGATCTTCATTAATATTCATATCTTATTCTTCTCCCTAAAGTTTTTCTTTAACTGCTCTTGTCTTTTTAACAGTTTTTAAAGTGTGCTTATTGAGATAAAATTAATGTTTGTAAGGACGCAAGAGGATGGAAGGAAACACCATCACAAGGAGCTCAATATTTTAATTATACATTCACCTATCCATTTTTACAATAATGAGTAACAACATAATTGAAGCAATGAAGAAAACAATGGAAATAAAAATATGACCACCGAAGCCGACGTCTTCAAGGGGTNAAAATATGACCACCGAAGCAGACGTCTTCAAGGGGTACCGGCCTCGGAAGTCATAAAACAAAACCTTTTCTATTNTATTTTCACAGTAAAATTTATGAGCACTAAATGAAAAAACCCAATTTTCCCCGGGTTTTTTCAAATAAAACCCAATTTTCCCCGGGTTTTTTCAATAAAACCCAGGCGGGTTGGGTTTTTCCAAAAATCCCCGGGTTTTTTCAAACCCTGTTTTCTATTGGGAGAGAGGACAAATGGCAAAATTAACTCTCTCAGTACCCCGAAGGTTTTGTAGATTAAGCATTATACTAATTTGTTACGTAATCTTTTATTTTACTATTCTTTTTTTCATTCTGCGCATTTTAATAGAGGGTGTTGTTTTCTTTTGTATTAAAGTTTCCTTTGAATTTAGTTTGTTTGTGAAATCCCTGTTTGACCGGTTTAATGTGAGTTTTTATTTTCTCAAGATTTGTTGAAATTTCTTTTCTGATTTGGTTTTATGTATTTCGTGTATTTTTTCTTGGACTTCTACAAAACTTTCGGGGTACTGAGAGAGTTAATTTTGGCATTTGTCCTCTCTCTCAATAGAAAAGGTTTTGTTTTATGGCTTCCGAGGGCGGTACCCCTTGAAGACGTCGGCTTCGGTGTTCATATTTTTATTTCCATTGTTTTCTTTATTGCTTCAATTATTCTTTCTTTTGAAAATTCTGCTGCTTTTAAGCGCATTTCTTTCGAAGATAGTTTTGTCAATTTGGAATTAATATTTTGTATTCCTTTACTAGAGTAACAACATAACATTGACTAAAATAAAAAGTATTTTAAAGTTTTAACCCAACTGATTGGGGAAAGAGGGAACCAGGGTAGGTTCGGATAGCTCATCATGCGTCATCTCTCTTGCTGAGTCAGAACGAAGACTATTGTTTTTGCGGATAGAGAGATAGCGCCATCTGTTTCTACGAATTAGCTATCCGTTACATGTTTAGCTATCAGAGGTACGGGTAGAAAAATGTATGACCTTTAATACTGGAAGTTTTCAATGTCCAGTGTAATAGATTTTTTTTACAAGTATTTATGGGGGCTGCGACCTATAAACGGACACCTCCGATGAATGTAAGTAATATGTGTAGCTTTTACTGTTATGAAAAAATGGATAAATAAGGGTTGAAGTCTATAAACTAGTTTCTGTCCACATATGTAGGCTCGGAGTTATAAACAGTCCCCCTATGAAAAAAAGTAAACCAGTATGCTAAATAATTTCTTCCTTGTTTGTGTAAAGTCCTGCACATATTACTAATATGAATGATTTTTTATTTGCTTTAAGATTTTCCATTAAATTAAAATTTCTTGAGTAGTTAAAATAATATGCTTAAATTTTTTTTTTTAAGTTTTATTTTACTTCAATTATTAAAACACTATTTAGATTTTTATATACTTCATTTTTTATTCTGGGTTAATGATTTTAGTGTTCTTCTAAATATATATGGTAGCATTAAATTTTAATTCCTGTGTTTTTACCAATTTTATTAATCTTTAATATGGTAGCTATTATTTTTGCCATGCCAGCTAAAATCTCACACTCACTCCCTTCTTCTTTGCAAACTTTGTTATTTGTTAGATTAGCGTATCTATTCTTAATGTTTTTTTGGTTGGTTGGTAAGTTAAGGTGGGAGATATCATTGCATTATAAAGAGTAATTTTTGTCTTAGACTAATTATTCTTCATACATGTACATATTTATATGTATACAATACACACACACAGTGAAATCTCTTGGGAGCGACCGCTCCCAAGAGATTTCACCATCATAAATTTAAGTTTGCATTTTATTTTTTATCACAAAAGTCAGTTAGCATTAAAATATGAGTAGATGTGTGTTTGTTTGAGATGATTGGTTTTTCTAAAGTAACTTTTTTTTTAAATTTAATTTTAAAATCTAGAAGTAAATCATTGATAGCATCGTCTTTAGTGCACTCTGACTGCAACATGAGGTTGTATCGTCAAAGAGAGCATCACAAAAATATTTTGAAAACATTTTAATATACTTATTTGTTTTGTTAAAATTTTTGATTGGATATTTTTTAGTGTTTCTTTATGTGACTTTTTCCACATTTGATGCAGATGTTTGCCTGGTCGCTGAGAGAGGTTTTAATATTCTATCCTAAAGGTTTTCTTCAACACAAAGTCTATGGAAAAAATTCCATGCCTTTCAAAAGTGGAATATATATATACAGTAGAGAACCAATTATCTGGGATGCTCGAAACCATCACGATCCCGGATGTCTGAATTTCCCGGTTTTCTGGGTCGACCAAAAAGTGGCGTTAATCGATGTTTTATCAAACCCGAATTACAAGGAAAATGTTTAACACATTTCGAAGTAAGAGATAAAAGAAAAGCACTCCAAAATTTTAAAAGAAAAAAAAAATGGCAGAAAAATAGCCTTTAAAAGAATTTTTAAAAAATTTCAAGTTTAGACAAGAGAAACAAATTTAAAAAATACAAAATTCTCATATTTATTTTTTAAAAATAATTACGATTCCTAAATTAACTAATGTAAACAAAACCAATGATTAAATAAAGCAATATATTTCATACCTAATTATGCAGAGGGGAAAACGATAAAATAAAAGTAAAACTTATTAATCTAAATAAAAACAATGAAAATTATCAAAGCTGAAACGATAGTTAAAAAAGGCACTAACATAAATATTAAAACCCGGAACAAGACAAGATCAATAAGATCAACGGAATTAAGAGAAAGAAGAAGGGAAAAAAACCTAATGATAAAATTTATGAATAAAAAGAATTAATTTATTAAGTGCGAATTTTATCGTATAAACGTAGTGGAATCATAAAAACAAAACTGCATTCTGCTTCATAAAATAATCGTATGTTTAAATTCATAAACAATTCTCCTTTTATTTTCTTATAAAAACACGATTTTTAACGAAAGCAGATGTGATTCCACACCAAGAAAAACTTGCAAATGATGCCGCACTTCCAACGAATCAGAATTTATTCAAAAGAAAAATAATTTATTTTTATTAATCGATGTCAAATACATAAATATATTTTTCTCTCTCATCTTCTGTTCACTGATATGCATGTGCATTCCCCCCCCCACCCGTAAATCAAAGAGAAAACGAAATCAGCATGCCACTCCTTTGAGTTTGATTGACAGCCTAAAGGAGAAAATAAGACATTCATCCCTTCCCTGCCTGCTCTTGATCTGAAGATCTTCAAGGTCGCGAAAGAAATTACGTTTCTCTGGGCAAACGGGGGGAAAGAGATTTCTCACATTTTCCTCTACTCAACTTCAGGGTCCAATTTCCGCTTTTTTTTCTTCATCGTTCTAGTTAAAAATGGCGGGAAAACCAAGCAAAATTTCCCCCGGTTATCTGGATACCGGATAAATGGTTCTCTACTGTACAAGTGTATGTATATTATATATGTATATATTATGATTCTTTCAATTAACAGACAACCAAATTGGAAGGGCATTGTCGCTAGAGTACCCGAAAGTACAGAATTCTTAGAGGCTGTAAAAGAGAATGATTTGTTTCTGTAAGCATCTATTTATGTTTATAAATTATTTCTAATTCATACTATTGTTGATGTTTTATGTTATCTTTATAACAAAGAATTTTAAAAATATATAAATGAACAATAATAGTTTTGATTTACCTGTATTCAGTGCTGTAGTTGAAGGGAAAGGCCATCCTGAAATATTTAATATGCTGTAATGAAGAAAATTTAAAATATTTGAAAAAGATTTCAAAACTATTTGTTTCTTTTTCATTCTCTCTTCATTTATTTGTTATTTTTCTTACGAAGTGAAACAAAAATTTTAGCCCAGTTCTGGAAAAATTGTTTTACATTGACCAAAGTGCAAATTGTACCAATCAGATTCAAAAAAAGCAAGTGAACTTTCAAGTCTGACGAATGCAATTTTTGGGCTCGTTAGTTAACAGACGCAATGAGACTAGTCCTGTAAAAAATGTCATTTCGAAAACGTTTATATCTTTTACAATTTTTGATGCACCTGAAAAGCAAAGTAATTAAAATAAATATTTAAATTGCATTTACCCTAATTTAATGAGCACAAAAATATTAATATGAAGTTGCTTTTAATTAATTTCATGTTTGTAAAATTATGAATATTAAATTAAATTATATATTTCTTTTTAACTCTGTTTTACATATTTTATAATCTGGTAAGCAAAAGAACCAATCTGAGAGCAAATAATTATTTTCTGGCAATAAAAAAAGAGGGGCTCTTAGAGCTTGCTCACTCTTTATTTGAATAAAGGCACGTTAAAAAAAAAAAGGAACATAAATTTTTGCAATTGTGAACTTTTTTTTATGTTAAAATCTTAACAAAACAAATCTGTATTTCTTTTTGCGTATCTAAATTTTTACCTTCTTGCTATCAAGGCAATGTGTTTAACAAATAAATAATCATAGTACTTTTCAAGTGCTAATGAAGAATTGTGTATTTACTCATTTAAAGTTTATTATATTATGCTATTATTTTATCAATAGCTTTTTTAATCAATGCATCAAAGATAAGAATATATAAATTATCAGCAATTCCCTTTNCATCGATTTTCGTATTTACCTGATTTAAAAGTTGAACGTTGCGATTCTTATTCAGGCCATTTAAATAATGTACATTGCGATTCTTATTTACGAGATTTAAAAAACCAATATCCCGATTTGTATTTACAGGCTTTTAAAACCCTATGTAGCTACGCAAGCTTAAAATCCAATGTCGTGAGTCGTTTTTGCGGTTGTAATATCGCGCGATTTTAAAATTATGCATCTTGATCTAAAAATTACGCATCATGATTTGTATTTTTGCATTTTTTAAATTCGATGTAGTTTCATATTCCCGTGATTTAAAAGCCTCATATAGGGATTTATAATCACATGGTTTACAAGTTTAAAAATCGGACTTTTTTTGTCAAATTTTTGTTTATATATATATTTATTCTTGGTTTTCCTCTTTTTTACTTTCTGCCTATTCTCATCCCTGAATAATGCTGTAAAATTTTGTAAAAATGTGATATTTCTGAAAACGTTTTTAGAACTTTTCATAAAAGAAGTTTCGTCTCAAATGCATTGAATAGCTGAAGAAAAAAGTTTTTATTAATTGCTTTCTATTATAATAGCTAATATTTCTAAATCTCCATTTTTTGTAAACAAGTGAACCATTTTAAATATGTCACATATTTATTAAAATTGCCTAGGTACATTGGACATGGCAGTGGCAGGCAGTACATAGAAAGCAATCTTGTTCACAAGCTAGAATGCAATGCGGCTGTTGTTCTGATGGGTTGCAGCAGTGGAAGTCTTATGCAGAGCGGAAGAAGATTTGAAGCTGAAGGATTTCCTTTGAGGTGTCTAATGCAGGGAAGGTATGCAATATTCTTTTGTTGAATCTCATTTTCAGTTATGATTCCTGCTAAAAATGACCTAATTCTTGGTGTGACATTGAGCATTGGTCAAACACCTTAATACGAAAAATAGGCATTTTGTCATAGTTGTCTTTTATTTATTAATTTAGAACAGATTTTGTGAGCTCTGGCATCTGTATGATTCATTGTTTTCATAATTTTGTATAAATTTAGGCTCTCACAATTAATTTTTGATTTCTTAAGATTCGCTATACAGCTCATTGAACTTTGATAAAAATAATAATGATCTGGTATGAATTTTTGGAAATAACCAGGGGCATTAGGAATTCAAAATTCAACTCTTGTAATGCATTCTTCAGATTTTAATTTTAGGGTTAATGTATTTATACTTTTCACAATTCTTGATTGTTCGCTGAATATGATTTAAAGTTTAGAACGCAGAATGTTTCGACTTAAAAGTTTTTTTTTTTTTTTAAGCTTCAAGTGTATAGTGAAATCCAGAAAAAAATATGAGCATTCTTATAGAACAAATTATATAATTTTTTGAATAAATCCATATATATATACACACAGTCAGACCTCTATTTTACGAAGTTGCTAAATCTCGAGGGAAAAAAATTCGTTAAATAGAAAATATCCTTTTGAAATACTTACACAACGTAAAACAGGTTTTAAATTCATAAACACCAGAAATAATTAAAATTAAAATTGATACACCTTTATCTTGTAAATTATTATCTATTATTTATTTTATAAATCTTAATCATAAAAGAAATCTGCAAAGAAAGTAAGAATAGAACAAAACATTATCCAAAGTTACACTATCATGCTACATATATTTTCCACTGAATAAAAATGCTAAATTTTTATATATTAAAATTATTGCTGCATTTATTATAAATGTAATTTTATACATACAATATCACATGCGTATATTAATTTTTATTGCTAAAAGTGTTTTTTCTCATAATAGGTCTCGCATTTTTGTAATGCTCCAAAAATTTCTTCAGGCGTATTTTCCTCAAACTGCAATCCACATCGAATTGTTTCATATGATTTTAACATTTCATCATATGAAGGCTTGCTAATTTCTTCATCATTTCCATCTTCATCTTCCTCACAATTTATGGCTGTATTGTTTTTATTTTTCACACTGTCCAAAATATCCGATTCAGTTAATGTTTCAGTGGTTTCAGCTTCAGAATCAATAGAAAGAAAATCATTAATCTGTACATCATTAATTTCGTGGTTCTCTCTTAGCTGTACCCACATTTTTTNATATATTAATTTTTATTGCTAAAAGTGTTTTTTCTCATAATAGGTCTCGCATTTTTGTAATGCACCAAAAATTTCTTCTTCTTTCCAAAAATTTCTCCTCAAACTGCAATCCTCATCGAATTGTTTCAAATGATTTTAACATTTCATCATATGAAGGCTTGCTAATTTCTTCATCTTCCTCACAATTTATGGCTGTATTTTTATTTTTCACACTGTCCAAAATATCCGATTCAGTTAATGTTTCGGTGGTTTCAGCTTCAGAATCAATAGAAAGAAAATCATTAATCTGTACATCATTGATTTTGTGGTTCTCTCTTAGCTGTACCCACATTTTTTTAAGTTCTTCTAAAGGAATATCATCCTTGTCCTCCGCACTTTCCAAATTCTCAGCGTTGACAAAGAATCCAGCTTTAGCAAAAATGTTACGAATATTACGATCTGTAACATCATAGTTCCATGCTTTAGAAATTTCTGTTATGCTTTCTCGCAAATTTATCTTTGGCATAGATTGCTTATTTTCAAGTGCAGTGATAACTTTTCAAAAAATTCTTTTGCAGTAGTACAGTATAAAGTTTTGAATCACCCCTTGATCCATTGGTTGTATCTTCGATGTAGTGTTTAAAGGCAAATAAAAAACTGTAATGTTTTTCAGTTTTTTGTTGATTTCCTTCGGATGCACAGGGCAATTGTCGAAAATTAGAGCAATTTTGCAATGCTCTGCAATCATAAGTTTGTCCAACTTTTAAATCCATTTTTTTCACATTTTTCTGACGTCATCCATGATTTTTTGTTGAAGTCATAATCAACCTCCAAAAATTTCTTGCCCTTAAAACATCTTGGAGTTTTGCTTTTTCCTATAATAGAGGATTTTAATTTTTGATGGCCAGTCTTATTTGCACCTAGCATGATAGTTATTCTTGCTTTGCTATGTTTTCCTCCAAAGCATTTTTCATTTTTAAATGTTAAGGTCTTTTAAGGCAATCGTTGAAAAAATAAAGCCGTCTTATCAGCATTAAAAATGTTTTCTGACTTACAATCTTTTAAAATTTTATTAAGAATCTCTGCAATCCACCTTTCGCTATCTTTATCATTAACGTCATTACTTTCACCAGATATATTTTTTCCTATAATTCCCTGTTTTCTCTCAAACTTATCAAGCCATCCACTACTTCCTCGAAATTCATCGTGTCCCAATGCCTTTGCAAATTGCATTGCTTTTTCTCAATTATTAAAGGTCCAGAGATCGGCACGTTTCTATCTTGCATTGATTGTATCCACTTCAAAACTGTCTCATTCACATCTTCATAGATGCATGTTTTTAAACGTTTTGAACAAGGATTTCTTACAATAGAAGTTTGAATAAGAACATTTTGAACAAGCTGTCTTACAATAAAAATTTCTTATTATAATCACAGCTTTTATGAATGTTCATATTTTTAATCTGAAGTTTGACTGTCTGTATAAATAACTTTTTAAAGTAAATATAAAATTGTGTAATTAAATATAAAATTTTATCTTAAAAATGATCATTGAAATCTTTCCTATTAAATTACTGGCTTTCAAATATAAAATTAAAGAAGAATAAAATCAAATTTAGACGAAGAAAAATGTTACATAACTGACATAATTTGAATTAAATTTATGACATTAATATAAGTTAATGAATTTAGTAATAATTTTGTAATATAACTAGAATTTAGATTAACTCAAATACTTGAGTCTCAGATTTGCAGTTCAGTAATTATTTTGAAATACTTTAGATAAAATATACATTTAAGCTAATAAGATTCACGCATAATTGTCTGCATCGCTAATGGGATTTTCTGATTATTAATAAACTATATAACACTCTCTTTTGAGTCAGCTTAAATTTTTTTTAAAAGAAAAAATTAGCCAATCAAAATATTCTATGAAATATATCTCATCATCTTTGTTTTATAATTTTTTTTTTCAATACGCTTATTTCATATCAAGCTAAAAACTATTTTCCTGATAAAAATTTGATGCATGTAACAAAAAATATGGTCTAGAATAGGGATGAACCACCGAATGGTCAATGTGCCGTCTTCACCTTTTATTCAAAAAATAATATAAGAAGCTACAAAACTTGCCTTAGAAAAATTTATAAGTATTCTTCAAATTTGTTAAGAATTTCATTGTTAAGACATTACGATATTAAAATCTTTCACCTTTTTAAATTGTAAAACATATTTGAAACGTGCATAGCTATAGCAAAAGTTGGAGGTCAGGTGGCGCAACTTTTTACCATATAAAGAGGAAGGTACTTATCAGTTTGCTGCAAAGTATAATTTTTTAGTTATTTTTACAGTATTAATGGAGATAATTTATTTTCATTTCAAACCTTTTTAGTTATTAACTATTATTCTATATTGCTATAACTACTTTTATTCCTTTTCAGTCCATGTGTTATTGGCAACCTATGGGATGTTACAGACAAAGATATTGATAGATTTACTGATAAATTTCTTGAACTATTTGTACCAAATTATTACAAATCAAGGAGTGCTGTGGTTGATGTAAGCAATTCAGTTTCTCAGGCAAGAGCTGCTTGCAAAATGTCGTACTTGACTGGAGCAGCTCCAATTATTTATGGCTTCCCAACATTGGCTGAGAGATAACCTTATTTATGTGTATAGTGTTTGAAGGAACTTCTAATATAAAGTACAAAATTATTTAAGTGTACAAATATTTTTTCTTGTACTTTATATAGTTAAATTAATTTATAATGTTGTTTTTATTATATTAAATAATGATGCATTTTAAAAACTTACTGTTTCTAAAAGATTCTTATTTTTCATAAATGATGACTGTGTTTATAGTGGATGACAAAATAGTTTGAATGAACTTATTGACTTTTATATTTTTAAATAAACAATATTTTAAAAGCTTTGTTCCTTTTTTTATTATTATTCAAAGCACTTATAAATATTCTCATATATAATTGAAAACACCATTAAAAAGTTTGACGCCCAGGCTTTTCAATAAAATTGATTTCAAAATCATTAACTAAATTAATTGTCTAACAACAACAAGACTTTTGATAGTTATAAATGCACTATAGGTATGAACAAAAATATGCAAACAACTAGCCTTGAAATTTTTTTTAACAACATATAATATTCCTTACTAAAATTGAGATGTAAGGAAGCCTTGAATAACTAAACATCGAATTATTTATAAATGCATCGATGAAACAAAAATTATTACTAACGTAAAATTTTCGTTTCATCATTAATGTAAATTGTAGGCATAGTTCTGCTCCAAACCTAAATTTCCTGCCCGCACTTAGATTTTTCTTCCGTGTATGTCGCATTTTAAGTCCTTTCTGCTTTGGGTCTTGTCCTCACTATACTACAGGATTCATAGGCTTCAATTGAATCCTGAAAAACTTAATTTTAATTAAACTTAATTAATTTGGATTAATTTTAAATCAGACTCTGGAAAACTGGAATGTTTCCTATAAACTAGAAAAAAATAATTTGAAAAATTGAAATTATATGGTTTTTTTCTTTTTCTAAAGAACTTTAAATTACAATATTTCTCACTTAGCACCCTTTCTATGAAGTTTTACAACACAAATGTGTGGTTTCTGTTCATAGGGCAGTTTTAGGTTAGGAAAAAGCTAATGTTGAACTTAAATAAAAAAAAATTTCGAGTAATGTTTAAATAATTTATTTTAAGACGCAGTTATTACATCTAAAAGTATTTGGATAACTAAAGGTAAGAGTTAAATTTTAAGGTTTGTAGGGGACAAGGAGGAACTGTCTTGTTTGAAATTTTTTAAACATTGGAAATTATTTACACTCAAGCTTTTGATTTAAAAAAACAAACTCTGTGGCATCCGAGCCCCCCCCCCTCCAACATGCTTGATACTCATTTTACTGATCCCCAGAAGTAGTGGAAGAGGAATAAAGAGTCAATATTGGCAATATAACCGACCAGAGGATAAAACCCAGTGGAGTTTGATTACTAATGTGTGGGTGTATTATAATTAGGGCTGCAAGTTTGTCGCGGGAAAAAGGACCCAAAATTCGCGGGAAATTTTGAAAATTACGCAAATTGTAAACATAAAAAAATTTGCTATATAAATGATGCAGACGACAGAAATTGCGCAAATAATAAAAAAAAGCTTAAAAAATACACATCAAAAGTATTTCTTTTAGTTTCAAGCAATATTAATATTTTAATTTAAATGAGCAGAATTTTGGTACAAAGTATTGTACATGGTCAGATTATTCTCATTTATGCTTCGTCTTTCATCACATAATACATTTTTATACTTAGAAAACGATCGTTCTGCATCCACGCTGCTTTTAGGCACCGACAAACATTAAATTGCCAATTTTGTATAGCGTTCAGTCTTTGATTCATGGGTGCAAGTCTTCCGTCCCCAGGACGGATTTCCGTCTTTCGAAAATGTCCGCGGTCGGAAGTAAGACGGAAACAAGACCGACTCTACGGAAATCGGAATTTTTTTTTCTTTTCTGTCTTTAAAAATATTTTTTAGGTCTACGTTATTGGTCTACTTTCTTATATCCTGTTGTTATTTTATCAAAAGACAGATGAATAAATATTTTTTGTACAGTATTTAAACTTGATGTATTATGGTAAAGATTTCTTAGATAGTTTGCATATGTCGAGGGGGTATTGTGTATGTTAGATATTTCAGTCAAAAAATTTTCAGTCTTGGCCTTTTTTCCAACTTGCACCCATGCTTTGATTTCAAAAACTTGATCAATTCCTTGACTGTTGCTTTGTAAGAAGTAATTGCTGTGAAAATTCAAACTAGGTTCTAGTCACAAAAGCCTTATCTCCCTCTCATCTACGAAACTTATCCCTATTTAAGAAGCCACCCAGGAAAAATTTTCTGGATATGTAGAAAGGCGGTAGAAATTTCATTGCCGAGTTTAATAGCCTGTATAACAATTTTTCTGTCAAAGATTTGATTTATAAAATTTTCCTTCTTTTGTACTCTTACTGACTTCAGGAAGGTAATCCTATCAGTCTATTACCCTCCCTAAGTATAGAAAGACCACCTTACTTGACAAGATTGTGATTATCTCTGAACTATTTTCTTGTCATTTTGCTATTGATTCACTCCNTTAACAACATATAATATTCCTTACTAAAATTGAGATGTAAGGAAGCCTTGAATAACTAAACATCAAATTATTTATAAATGCATCGATGAAACAAAAATTATTAATAACGTAAAATTTTCATTTCATCATTAATGTAAATTGTAGGCATAGTTCTGCTCCAAACCTAAATTTCCTGCCCGCACTTAGATTTTTCTTCAATGTATGTCGCATTTTAAGTCCTTTCTGCTTTGGGTCTTGTCCTCACTATACTACAGGATTCATAGGCTTCAGTCAAATCCTGAAAAACTTAATTTTAATTAAACTTAATTAATTTGGATTAATTTTAAATCAGACTCTGGAAAACTGGAATGTTTCCTATAAACTAGAAAAAAATAATTTGAAAAATTGAAATTATATGGTTTTTTTCTTTTTCTAAAGAACTTTAAATTACAATATTTCTCACTTAGCACCCTTTCTATGAAGTTTTACAACACAAATGTGTGGTTTCTGTTCATAGGGCAGTTTTAGGTTAGGAAAAAGCTAATGTTGAACTTAAATAAAAAAAAATTTCGAGTAATGTTTAAATAATTTATTTTAAGACGCAGTTATTACATCTAAAAGTATTTGGATAACTAAAGGTAAGAGTTAAATTTTAAGGTTTGTAGGGGACAAGGAGGAACTGTCTTGTTTGAAATTTTTTAAACATTGGAAATTATTTACACTCAAGCTTTTGATTTAAAAAACTAAACTCTGTGGCATCCGAGCCCCCCCAACATGCTTGATACTCATTTTACAGATCCACTGAAGGAGTGGAAGAAGAATAAAGAGTCAATATTGGCAATATAACTGACCAGAGGATAAAACCCAGTGGAGTTTGATTACTAATGTGTGGATGTATTATAATTAGGGCTGCAAGTTTGTCGCGGGAAATTTTGAAAATTACGCGAATTTTAAACATAAAAAAATTTGCTATATAAATGATGCAGACGAATTGCGCAAATAATAAGAAAAAAGCTTAAAAAATACACATCAAAAGTATTTCTTTTAATTTCAAGCAATATTAATACTTTTATTTAAATGAGCAGAATTTTGGTACAAAGTATTGTACATTGTCAGATTATTCTCATTTATGCTTCGTCTTTCATCACTTAATACATTTTTATACTTAGAAAACGATCGTTCTGCATCTAATCTGCTTTTAGGCACCGACAAACATCAAATTGCCAATTTTGGATAGCATTCAGTCTTTGATTTCAAAAACTCGATCAATTCCTTGACTGTTGCTTTGTAAGAAGTAATTGCTGTGAAAATTCAAACTAGGTAGTAGTCACAAAAGCCTTATCTCCCTCTCATCTAAGAAACTTATCCCTATTTAGGAAATCGCAAGAAGCCGCCCAGGAAAAATTTTCTGGATATGTAGAAAGGCAGTAGAAATTTCATTGCCAAGTTCAATAGCCTGTAAAACAATTTTTCTGTCAAAGATTTGATTTATAACATTTTCCTTCTTTTGTACTCTTACTGACTTCAGGTAGGTAATCCTACCCGTCTATTACCCTCCCTAAGACCACCTTACTTGACAAGATTGTGATTATCCTGAACTATTTTCTTGTCATTTTGCTATTGATTCACTCCCCTAAATATCTAATCAATTTTACATGTTCAATTTAAGGCTTCAGAAAAGTAAAAAATTCTGTTAAACAAAAATGATAAATTAAAAATGAAAAGAAAATTCACATTTTAAGCAATTTTCGCTCAAATGAAAACATATTGAGAAATTCGTGAATTTTAGGAAAAAATATGACAATTTCAAGGAAATTCGCGCCGCGACAGATCTGCAGCCCTAATTATAATGAAATATAGTGATTTTGTATTGATATTCTTTATTGTATTTAATTTTTAATGCTTTGAAAATTTTATTGCTGTTTTTTGTCTAACGATATATTATGTGCTATAATTTTTAGAGTTGTGCTAAAAGATTTTTTTTCTCCACAAATTAAGTTTGAACCCCGATGAGCATGAAACTTGTAATGAAATAGGACAGCAAAACTTTATTGTAAGAATTTAATCGATAACAATTAATATTTATGAGCCTTTAACAATAAACTCAATGAAGTAAATAAGAAAAGTAGTCGGTAATCTCAAGAACAAACTTCAATTATTCTTCACAATACGAAAAATTATTTTCCATACACTGGGAAAAGCAAAAATAAATAAACATCTGCTATAGAGATATGACTTAGGACACTTTAGCTTATGGTTTCCATTAAGTTAAAAGAAATTATTCTTTTTACTGTTAACATTTGAAAGCTTAAGACAATGCTAAGTTAAACATCTCTTTACATGCATTGTTTCAAACTTCAAGATTATTTTTTAGATGTGTTCTGTATATTTAGGAAAAATTATTCCAGAAATAAAGAATTAACCCTGTACAAAATTTTCTACTTCCCACTTGATAAGTAACCTTTCCAGAATGTTTAGTTTTCCAGTTGAGCAATTTTAGCAGGATTTAAGCAAATTAGCTTAAATTATGATATTGAATACTTTTTTAACTATGATTTTTCTAAATAAAATATTTACTGAAAATAAATAATGCCCTGTCAAACTGGGCTTGACTCGAACCTGGGATGCGTCTTGTTTTTAATCTCATGTTTATTAAGATATCTTATTTTTCACTTGGATCTCGATGTTTTCTGATGGTGTTATAAACCAACTTTTATGTTAAGATAATAATTGAGATAAGTGATTATATAGTAGAATTTTAATGGGGTTTTTTTTCCTTCATATTTTTCCTTAAATTGTATGGAAAAAAATTTTTAAACGACAGACGCATCACAGAGTCTGTTCAGCATACATGTGTTACATAATATGTTCTACATTTAGCACTTGTTAGAGTGTGTTGCACGTGCTATCAAAAGTTCCAGATTTGAATCTTGCATTCATCACAGCATTTTTTTTCCAACTGAAATAAACTTTTTTGTGGGGGTTTTGATTGAGTGAGATACAGTTTAAATCAGGGATGTGATTCTTTCGCGGATTTCCGCTTTTTGTCAGATTTTTCCCGTTAATTTCCGCGGAAACTTTTTGTTGTTGAACAAGTTAAAATATTTTATGAGGAATTTAATTTTCCTCGGAGCGAAAGTATTGAATTCCTCCCTCTGAAGTTTCTCTAAAAATCATTTCCTTGGGATAAAACTGGTTGACCTTTATACAGGGATAAGATTTTTCGTTTTTGCCTCTCGAATTTCAACCTTTTTATCAAAAACTCCGATTATCTAAAAGTTTCTNTTTTTTTTTTTTTTTTTTTTTTTTTTTTTTTTTTTTTTTTTTTTTTTTTTGAAAATTCAATTTTTGAAATAAAATAATTATATTTATTTACGATTTTCAAAGATAAATAGAACCTTCCGTATTTTTACTTATTTTAGCTATTTTCTCCGCTTTTACACACAGAAAATAAGATGTTTCCGTATTTTTATTCGTCCGTCGGATAGCTCATATTTTCGCAATTCAGACGTCGTGACCCTGTTGTCTGGCGTAAAAGCAAACGAAAAAAAAATATAAACATGGATTTGCGGTGAAAATATTTATTTGCTCATTCAATTAATCTTGAAAATTTCTATTCATTAGGTCTAAACAAAAACAAACAAGCCTTTACGAAATCCCAAGTCCAGACTCTGCAAATATCTCGATTGTTATTCACGCGATTTTAATATCAATCATCGATTTTCGTATTTACCTGATTTAAAAGTTGCGCATTGCGATTCTTATTTACGATATTTAAGCATCGTGCATTATGATTCTTATTTACGAGATTTAAAAATCCAATATCGCGTTTTGTATTTATGCATTTCTAAAATCGCGATTTTATTATCAAACATCGATTTTCGTATTTGCCGGATTTGAAAGTTGAACGTTGCGATTCTTATTCAGCCGATTTAAATATCGTACATTGCGATTCTTATTTACGAGATTTAAAAATCCAATATAGCGATTTGTATTTACGCGCTTTTAAAACCCTATGTAGCAATTCGCATTCACGTGAGCTTAAAATCCAATGTCGTGATTCGCTATTGCGGTTGTAATATCAAACGTCGATTTTCGTAATTATACGTGCTTTAAAAATTAGACATTGTGATTTGAATTCGCGCGATTTAAAAATTATGCATCGTGATTCGTATTTACGTGATCTAAAAATTACGCATCATGATTTGTATTTTCGCATTTTTTAAAATTCGATATAAAGTTTCATATTCACGTGATTTAAAAGCCTCATATCGGGATTCATATTCATACAATTTAAAAATTAATCATCGGGATTTATAATCGCACTTTTTTCGTCAAATTTGTGTGTGTGTATGTATATATATATATATTCTTTCATTCTTGGATTTCCTCTTTTTTACTTTCTGACTACTCTCATCCCTGTTAAATCATCCCATGTGCCTAAATTATTTTTTGTTTGCAAATTTTTTTTGCATATAACTTAGTTTATAATAGTTGATTGAAAACAAAACCTACAGTTTGAAAAAAAAAAGTAAAAACAGTTTATGCTTCAAATGTAAAATTAAATTTGATTAAAAAAATTTTTCTTTTGCTTTGAAAACTTCTGATTTTTTAAAAAAGAATTTCCTTCCTCTTTGCATTGTCATTTGATAATTTTTTTTAAAAAATAAATGGGTTTCAAAAAAAAAAATTTCCATAGAAATTTCTTCTTTTTTCATACTAAGAATGAAACAAAATTATTATTCTCTAAAAAAAATTTTTTATCGCAATCAAATTTGTTTTGGTGTTATTGATATCACTTATTTCAATATTGATTCATCTGATTTAAAGAGCGTTTTTGATTTTTACTCATTTAAATATCAAATGGATGCTTTTACTAGGATTTTATGCTATGGATATGCTTATGACTAGGATTTTAAAAATATAAAGGTTGGCAATAATGGAATTCTGTGACAGAAATTCATTTTCGGAAATAGCAGAAATTTTTTATGAAATTTTATTAATTCTGCTCTGCTTCCTGCACGCTAGTGACGAGTTTGTAGGTCAAAGCCTGAATAATCTGAGCGGGATATATGCAAGTAAGATTACCAGACGTTCTCAATTCTTTAGAACATTCTTTAAATTACAGTAATTGTCTACAAAAACTTCCAAATTCTGAGGACAGAAAATGGTCTCAAATAAATCCGTAAATTTCTAATAAACAGTGAAAGATTGAGAAAAAAAAAATCAGGCAGCAAAGCCTTCAGTGAATGTCTTCACATTCTAGAAAATACTCAATATCAAATTTTCACTTGCATAATGGCCAGATTCTCTGATAGTGAAAAGGAATGTGGAATGTTTTTTTATTTCTGGAATGTTTTTTTATTTTCTCGTGAGCCACTGCAAGGACTTCGCTAAGATTTGGCGTAGATCATAAATTGAAATCTTTCCGGAGTGAATTCCACCAATATATTGCAATTGAATGTCGACACCTTCTTCACTGGAATCCATTTTTGTAACATTTTAAAAGCAGTTTTCCACGCATATCTGGCGTATGATACTGATTTACATTTTTCTGTTGTTTATATTTATATATTTTTACTGAAAGCATGTTCGTGTTTAAATTTATATATTCAGTGGAACCCCAGTATAACTTTGTCCGTAATCTTTCGATATTTGATTTAATTCCTGTTCTCGATAATAGCGAGGAAGATGAGCAGCAAATACTGGCGAATAAACCCACGATTGTTGGAGAGAAGAAGAGAGAAATCTACAAAGATAGTAAGAATAGAACAAAACATTATCCAAAGTTACACTATCATGCTACATATATTTTCCACTTAATAAAAATGCTAAATTTTTATATATTAAAATTATTGCTGCATTTATTATATTATAAATGTAATTTTATACATACATTATCACATGCGTATATTTATTTTTATTGCTAACTTGGATCAGTCTGCGTAGGGACCGAGGGTGTGCGGTATTGGTCCTCGTTAAACTGTTCTACCGTAAAGTGCTCGACTTCACGTGCAGGTCGTCGGGCTACTGAAGCGGGGGTGCCATCCCCTCCGTTGAGAATCAAAATTGTGATGGCGTGTCTTCGGATCATCCTCAGGGATGTTTCCCAGACCGTCGCCAATAGCCCACTGTGCAGCTCTAGTTCGACGTAAATGAACTACAACAAAAAAGAACTAGATTCCTTCTTTTTTAAAAACAGTGAACCTCCTAAAAATGACAAAGTATTCACCTGATCAATATCAGCGAATTTTTCAGACAAAAATAAGTCCGTAACATCTCGGAACCGGAAAATGTCATAATGTTTATTTACAAACCGTTACCGCATGGTTCTGCATGCTGTTTACAACTTGAGAATGAAATGAAACCTCCCACTTAAGCAGATATTTTTATTTATAATTAGTTTTCTCTATTAAAAAATAAGTTTAAAATATGAATCGTTCATCCATGTTAAAAAAATCAATTTTGATTGGAACTCGAGCCCTGTCTATTTCCAAGAACTTTAATATCTCTAGTCATTGCAGAACTGTATGTTTGGTTAAATTTCAATTGTTTTTGAATTTATTTATTTCATATTTTTCTGTCTTGGTTAGATTTCATGATTTCCGCCTTACCTTGTGATTGACTTTAGTATTGCATTTCATATTTTTAAATCGTTCAGTTGTTATAAATATGTAAAAATAAAATGAAATTTTTTTACTTACACTAGATTAAAAGTTTTCGGGTTTAGTAAAATGACAAATGTCATTTTAGGGCAAAGATAGATAAAATTTTATATTAAACTATTGATAGAATCAAAATAATTTACTCATAACTTAAGAGTTTATTGGATTTAAATATAGTTAAGGTTTAAATATCTTAAATAGTATTGAAATAGTATAGTCTTGAAACAAATACATGTTTGAATTGCATTTTTGTTTTGGAATGTTTGGAAAATTTCTGTTTTGGCACCTGCGCTAACGGAAAAGGATCGCCAAATTTCGAGTGACAACCCGGCAATATTTCATTCTATTTCATAAGATAATATTTATTGAACTTTTTACATAAGTTTCATTATAGAATGCAAAATAAAAGATACAAATTTCTTAGAGCTAGGGCAATTTTTAGGTGCCAACATCCCAAAATGTTGACTATAAACTTAAAAATTTTAGATTTCTTGGCACCTTGGATTTGTGCAACCCTGATAATATCTACAAAAGTTACAATTTATACCTCGTTATAAGTTCTTTATTTCTGTTTTATCATTAATAATTTAATTTTAGCCTAAATTTTGAAACAGTTTTGTTGATATCTTATTCTACCAATGATGGATGTATATTATTGTACACTTTAATAAATCAAAACCAATAAATTAAATTTTTTTCATTCTGTTATTTTAATGATTTAAAAAAAATTATTTTTTTGGCTCTTTATCAATATTTTTAGTTAGGTCGGTAGAGAGCTGGGTTCCTGTCCAAGAGTTCGTGGATTTTATCCCCGCCGGCCGAAGTCTCTTCGTGAAGTAAATGGTGACTGATACACGTTAAATCTGTCGAGTCGCGAAGTCCTCCGTGTTCCCATAAAAAAATCAATACCTCTGGGGGTATTGATCCAGGAGTTTCCTTGTCTTCTGGATTGGTTCAAAATTACAAGGCTGCAGAGTTGAACATTAGTAGTCCTGAACCCTAAATTGAGTCAGGTGTTTAACAACGGTTATAAAATAAATATTTCTAGTTATACAAGCTAATTTTTATATTAAAAATTTATGCTTACAACAGGGCAAAAAAAATTTCTTAGTGTTAGCTAACCTTTGGTGACTAAATATTTATTGCTGGCAAATAAGTTTTTTCTTGTAAAATGCGTTTCAACTCAAACTACCATTCATATTTTTCACAGAGTTGGCATTTACATATGAAGTTTAAGAAAAATATGTAGGCGCTACTTCGTCAACTCTTTGAGAACACAAAATCCTTTAGAATGATTTTCCCATAATTTTAATACGTGGACTCCTCTTACATATTTTGGCTCTGGCAAATGGTATTTTTGTGGCAGTGGCATGAAATGTTTATAGTGTGGGAGATTTTCTGATACAGTGACCACTCTCCGTTCCACAGTAAAATGGTCGTTGATGGAGGCTCTTAGAGGTTACCTCCATTGACTTTAAAATTGTTATCAAAGGTAAATGATTTTCTGAAGCAATTTTAATTTTAGTCGGTGTTATTTTCTTGGGAATGACACTTTTGTTAGTACCATGAAAAGACGTATCGATGAATAAAACTTAGTGTCTATAAAAATGATCCAACAGGTACAATTATGGGCAGGGTTGGCAAGATTTTGCTGCAGGTGGAAAAAACCATGGTAAAAACCGTCCTGGCAAAAACAGGTTTTTGCCAAGCAAANCTATTATTTTCGTTTAATTTTATCATTTCATCTTTTAAGGTTATTTTTAATTTATCTAGTTTTGAAAAGATATCATGCATTTCCTCTTCATAATTGTTATAATCTGTATCTTGACATGTGCTTAGTATGTCAATATTCAATTTATCGATTTCGATGTTTAATGTGTTTACATTATTTTCATAGACAAGAAATTCGCGAATTTTGAAATTGATTTATAGAATGCGCGAATTTCTCGCGGTAATAATTTTTTAATGCGTGAAAAGAAAAAAATATGCGAGATTCTCGCGCTGTACTGAAAACACTGTCTTAGAGGTTACCTCCATTGACTTTAAAATTGTTATCAAAGGTAAATGATTTTCTCAAGCAATTTTAATTTTAGTCGTTGTCTTTTTCTTGGGAATGACACTTTTGTTAGTGCCATGAAAAGACGTAACGATGAATAAAATTTAGTGTCTATAAAAATGATCCCAACAGATAAAATTATGTGTAAAAACAAATTTGCCAATTATGAATGATAATTATGTTTTTTGTTTAAGATGGCATTTAATTTTATATCATGAAAATAAGTTAGCTTTAAAAGATGAGGAGAGGTTTGTTTGTTTGAGATGCTTGTTTTTTCTATAATAACTGTTTTTTTAAATTTAACTTTCCACTCTAAAAGGATAGCATCATCTTTAGTGCACTCTGACTGCAACATGGGGTCATCAAAAAGAGCTCTCTAAATAAGATCAAATATTTTGAATACATTCTAATCGACTTATTTGTTTTGTTAATATTTTTTGGTTTTAAATTTTTTTGTGTTTCCTTATTTGATTTTTTCTGCATGGGGTGCAAATGTTTGCCCGCTCACTGGGAGAGGTTTTAATGGTCCCTTCTTAAGGTTTTCTTTAACACAAAGTCAATGGGAAAAATTCTGTGTCTCCCAAAAGTGGTCATAAATAGAGGTGGTCTTTCCTGTAGGTTTTACTGTATTTTCTCATTTTAATGACTTTGAATGATATTGAAACCCTATGGCAACCTTATTTTAAATAAATATTGCTATAATTTTTTTGCAATAAATATGTTTCAATATTTCTACATCCTTTTGTAGTTTTGGTCCATCATATTTTTTCATAGAAATAGTGGAAAACAAAAATTTTAGTCCAATTAATTACAATAATTAACTTAAATTTTAATGCTTACAATATGCTAACACCAATTTTTATAAACATCTTATTTTAATTTAAGAATAGGCTTGTTTTATGCATCTTTGACTGTAGTAATATGCAACATTAGATAGAGGGTGATAGTTTTGTTGTATAAAATTTGTTTGTGTTTATAAGCTCTGGTTTTCAGTGTGAAAAAAAACAAATATTAATCTGTGAAAATTCATTAATAATTTTTCAGATCAGTTTCAAAGCCGCATCAAGTATAGAAGATACTTTTGGTCGTCATCATAATTACTTGAGGATCTCTTTAACTGAACTTTGCAATTTAAGATGTAAGTAAGCAAATAATTTTTACTTTACTGTTTGTAAAGGAAAATGAATGTCATGTGACAGTTTTTACCATGCTAAGGGTAATTCTATGAAGGAAATTAAATTTCTTGTTTGATATGGCTGATTATTTTTTATTTGAATCTTGTAGAAAGTTGTTTATTTTGATCATGCAATCAACACAAATTAGTTGAACATTAAAATTTTGTCTTATAGTGACAATTAAAAAAACATTCTCTTAGTGTCAATTCTTTTTATACTTTTCAAAATATTTAATAATTAATGATAAAATCTTAAAAATTATTCTCAAGTGTAACAAAATATTTTTTTTTTTAAATTTAAAATCCTTAAGAAACATAACCAGAACATAATTGCATTTCTAATTTATTAAAAAAAGTATATGAAAACATTGCTTTGTATAACTTTTATTTTACCTTATTTGCTTTTCCATAAAAATCAAAGGTTATATAATTTTTAAAAGTAATATAAATTTGATATGATTTTTTAATTTTTTTTTTACATAGTGTTAAATGGCATGTTCTTATCAATATCACTTCTTTATTAATAATGGACTCTGAATTTACTTCATCAATACATATTCTTGCTGAATACTTCCTAGTTAATAATGTATAATACATACTTCTTTTGCTAATACCTTAATACTTATGATTCATACTCAATAAAATGTCATTTTTATATTTATGCAATCAAAAGAGATGTTCTGGCAGAAGGTTTATTTAGGTATATGTTTTGTTGATTTACATGTGCAACGGGGCATGTAAAAATTGTGAGATTTTTCGAACCCTGTTATATTAATTTTAACTCTCTTGTTATACATAGAAACAATTTTCAAACTAAAGAAACAGTTTGTATTTTAATTTAAATGAGTTTTGTTATGGCAGGCAATATCCTCTACATCTCCTCTGGCAATTTCTCATGAGGCTTTTTCTGCCAGGTACACTGAACAATTTCTTTCTTGTCAGTTTTGTATGCCTGTGAAAAGGTGGAATTTACTACCTCTCCAAACTGAGTCCAGTGTCGCAACAGCCCATAGAGAACCTGCACTCACCCCAGTTTTCTTGACCTTGGGCTCTGGGGTGCAGAAGCAAATATTCCGGTTTGGAGGTCAGCCAAACGTTGAACCCCCAACGTTTAGACCCCAAGCATACTTGGTACTCATTTTATCGACCCACTGAAGGGATGAAAGGCTTGCCTGACCAGTCTGAGCATTGAACCCAGGACCTGTGACACAAGAGTGCAAAGCCCCACCACTCAGCCACTGGGCACTACCTCTCTAACCTTCTTTTGAAATTAACTTAAAATTAATCTTTGTAATTTAAATTTTTAACTACTTTAAAAAAATTTAATTTTAAATGGGAACTCTTGTCATTTAATAGATTGAATAAAAATTTCTAGACTTCGTTTTTAACTTTAATTTAGCTACTAAAATGTTTCATTTTAGGTCAGTACTGTATGCCTGAGGAAGGGGTGACTTTAACACCTGACCAACATTTATTGACTACCAAAGAAATTCTCTCATTATCAAAACTTTTTGTTAAGTTAGGAGTAACAAAGATACGGTTTACAGGTGGAGAACCTTTGCTTCGCAAAGATCTCTTGGAAATCATCGGTGAGGAGTTATTCTCTAAATTTTCTGAAATATGCATATCAATGTATATATATGTGTTGATTTTAGTTTTTTTGAAAACTTATTTATAGAATCAGTTTCTCAGTTCAAAGGCCTTGAAACAATTGGGTTAACAACTAATGGACTATTTCTTCATAAGAAAATTAAGGAATTGAAGAAAGCTGGTACTTCATTTGATTTGTTAAAATATAGCTAAAGAGAAATTAAAACTCATTTAAAATATATCATAATTATTGTTGAAATCTGTAATATTTGGTTTTTATTTTTAAATTTCCATCTTGTCAAATGACCTATAAGAAAAACATAACAAATTTTATTGCACTATCTCAAAGCTAACACGAAACAAATGAAAGTGTAGTTAAACTATATAAATAACAATTGAAGAATTCCCACTTAGATGCATTGCAAATGAAAATTGAAAACTTTTAAATAGATTTTAACAGTTAGTGCACTATATGCATATGGTAAGAAATATATTTAATTATAAAATAAGTATGAAGTTAGCTATTATTTGAAGGATTTATTTTTTATCTGCCAGAGAAAATTCAATTGAATTGAAATCAAAAATATTTTAGTCTTTTTTAAAATGCCGTAGATTCAAAGTGCAGTAGAAAGTGTGGCATAATGTTTTTTTTTTTTTTAGATTCCTAATAAATATTTTACTTTCATTTATGGTTAGTCAGTCAAATATTTTGTCTGTCACTCATTGTTCTTCTGCTCAAGTGATTTTAAGTTTTTGATTTTTAAGTTAACTCTGAATTCACTGTTATTAACCAGTAACAATTTTAACAACAAAAGTTTTGATCAAAACTGTATCTAGTTGTTTATTTATTGAAATATTCAACATTAAAGAATGATTTTTGAATATATTACTGGAAAAGTAGATAATACCTAGGTATTGTATACAATGTCTGGTTTTCATGTTCTTCTTTCCTTTAACTTCTTCCCATAGTAATATCAACTAAATTCTTTGTAAAATAATGCAGCTCTTTGATTTTAGCAATTGAACTAGTCAAGCAAAAAAATTTTGGTTTTGCTATTTTACCTCCTGAAAAATAATTTGCATTCAATTGATTTTCTTTTTCATTTTGAAATTCACTATTGTATTATTTTTTAACCTACTTATTATTAAATTCATTATTATTTTATGAACATATTTAAACCATGTATTTAACATATACAAATTATGGATTTTTTTAATTCTTATTTTAAACAAAAACATCATTTTTTACCTACTCAACTTTTGCAATGCCTAAAGACATCCTTTCCCTGTTGTTTTTCATATCAAAAAACCCATTTCCCACCTTTTTGGGTATTCAATGAGAAAGTTGTTTATTAAAGAGAAATTTGTAAACAAACTTGGGGGTTCGCAAAAGGAAGTTCCTCTTTTTTTTCTCCTGATTTTATTGGTACATCAATAAAAAATTATAATGTGTATGACATTAACTTTGCTTTAAAAGTAAACAAGCTAGCACATTAAGTTACTTACTTGAGGAAATAGTTTTCTGTCTGTTATATTTAATATAAAACCAAATAATTTTTAAAATATTTTAATTGTTCCTTAGGACTGAATGCATTGAATATCAGCCTAGATACATTAATACCCGCAAAGTTTGAGTTCTTGACAAGACGCAAAGGCTACAATAATGTCATCAAAAGCATTCATTCTGCTTTAGATGCAGGATTCCACCCTTTGAAGGTATGGTGTTGTGATAACTGATATTTTATATCGTGTATTACACTTAATCAAATGTTACTCCATATTGTGTATCAGGTTTAATTAAATTCATATTGTGTATCTTTATGAGTGAATCTTAATACGTAATTTCAAGAGACGTGGTGGCTCAGAGGATAGAGCACTTGCCTAATGAAGTAACCTGGGTTCAAATCCAGGCACTGGCTGGTCGATACGAATTCCGCTCCAGGCTTGCTCTGATACAGGGGTGATTGTGCTCCGGGGAAAAAATCCTCGATCACATTTATATATAAAAATTCTTGTGTATTTTATTTCAAAATATTAGAACTAGAATTTATGCTTGGCATCTCTTTCATTTTAAAAAATTTTTCTGGTAGAATAATAAATGTGATTAGAGATAAAAGTAAACTTACACATAATTATTTATTTAAATTATGCTGTATATAATTAACTTAGAATATCATGTTTTGAAAATTTCAATGATTTAAATTTATAAAGATATTAATTTTTTGAATGATTTTACTCAAGAAATTTTCAGGATTTTTGAGTTGGACCCACAATTACCCCTGCTGATAGCAGGGCATGTAATCTTAGCTTTAACTGATTCTACATTTTTAATAAAGATATATTAAAATTTGATTTTAATGAGTAAATTTATTGTATTTATTTTTTGACTATATGTTATTATTTCCTGATATCTATGCATTTTTGCCCTTTATTTGTTGAATGCATATCTCAAATGATTTATACTATTTTCATTACTTTTTTATCCTAAGAATTCACTTTCATTAAAAATTTATGACTGTTAGGTGTTTAAAAAATTATTACCTAAATTGCATACTTGAAAATAAAAAACTTCTTTTAATATCATAGTTGAAAGATTACATTTTGGAGTTACATTGCTAATCCCCATCCCCTTGTCTACTATTCTTTTGCTTTTCACAAATTGATTTCTCTTCCATTTTTGGATTGTCTTTTTTCTAACCTGTTTAGTTTTTATCATTTACTTGGTGTCATTCAAGGACTCGTAACATTTGGACCTTTATTCCACTTCAGCTATGAAGCAAAGAAGTTTTATTTATATATAGGTACATTTTTTGCTTTGCATGATTTCATCATTGACATGCCCAGGTTGAGCCTTGACTTTTTCTTCCATTTTGACCTGTTCTTAGCAACGGTTTGCATAATTTACCCACAAATAGTAAAATACATTTGCTTGATTAGTTATAAGAACAAAACTTTTTATTATTTGAACAGAATATGAAAATAATGATTTTAATTAGTACATTTGTCTTCTAGGTAAATTGTGTTGTAATGAAGGGAATTAACGATGATGAGTTAACCTCTTTTGTAAAGTTTACTGAAAAACAGGTAACTTTGATTTTAAAATAAAAATCATATAAAACAATTATTTATTAAAAAAAATTCGACATTTTGATTTGGAACAAATTTCAATCTACAACTAACGTGATTCAATCAATTTCAAGCATTTTACTGTAATTTTTTGAAAAAATAATCAAAAGTAGTAATGCACTTTTTTGATAAAATTTAAGACTATACCTATCTTCTGAACTCAAACTATTTGTTTCATTTCTGTTACATATTGGTAAAAGATAAAATGTTGATAGTGCGAACAATTCTTTTTTTTATGTTTTTATTCAAGTTCCTGACTACTATTTCTTTTTCTTGGATTTGAAAATGCATGTTTACTTGTGAAATCTCTTACTAATACATATTATAATTGTAAGTAAGTATTGAAAGTTAGACATAGCTGCCAACTCTACTGGATTTTTCCTGTTTCTCCCAGTCTACTGGTTTAATAAAAATTCTCCTGGTTTTTGTACATTTTAGAAAATTCATTGAAATTGAGTAAGTTTTCTGAAAAATCTCTATGGAAATAGAATTTTGCACAGATTATTGCTTGCTTGAATATTAAAATAAGTATTATAATATAATAAAGCTAGCCTTATATATAAAAATTAGTTTCCTTTCCCTGAATTTTTGTCCTAAAATGTTCAGTTTATTTTTATTCAGAACTACCTTTTTAAATGAATGAAAAAATATTTCAACCATCTTTGAATTAAATGCCTATTACTATTCAAAATTATGAGTAAACATTATACATAACATTTCAAAAAGAACTTACTAAAAAGAAGAAATGAAATGTTTTTACTTGTATTTTATGTTTTCCAGATAAGTTGCTCACCATTGTTATAAATTATTGTGTTTTAATTGATTCATTTACAGGATGTTGATATTCGCTTCATTGAATATTGTCCTTTTGGTGGCAACAAGTGGAGTGACAACAAAATGGTTCCCTATGAACAAATGCTTGATTTGATTAAGGCAGAGTATCCAGACCTAAAACGAATAACTGACCAACCAAATGACACTTCAAAGGTATAAATATTTTTAATTCATTCTTTTAAATTTTTCATTGAATATTCTCAAAACATCTTAATACTGTAGGACCTCAATTATCTAAAGTAATTAATAAGAGGCTTACTTCAGGTAATTGAACTGATTTTTTTAATGAATTTTCAATTATTAACTCTGCAAATCTAGGTTTTTAACTTACATTTAAACTTAATTTTAATTAAGTTTACGCTTTTTATGGTTATTCTCTTTAGAGTACCATTTTAATGACCTATGCGTTAAGTCTCGCGTAGCAGCTATGCGTCTCGTTTATTACTCCATAGACGTGACCTCCACACTGTCCGATTCATTCTAGTCTAGCGACTGAAATTCAGTCATTTTATTTCACAAAAATTTTCGAAGAAATTATTTAAGAGCATTATTTATTTTGATCTTGCCACATGTATAGGGAACACCCTTTGAATGACTGACTTGATTCGCTAGATTTTTATTCTAGGTGGTCAAATAGTTTTTGGCTACGAGTTATATTTACGGTATTTTTGTGCACTAATGATACAACATCCTTATGCTATATCATCATTTTTTCCCGGGTTTCAGGGGTCATTATATGAAGTGTAGACCGTATAACCACAATTTTAATATAGTAAATGTATTTTTGTCAAGTAATGATGTTTTATTTTAAAATTTTCTTGCACCATTTAACTGGATCAATAGAACTCGTTAGCTTTTTTTTCTTCAACAAATTGTTTGTACAAAGCAGCTTCTATAACTGGAGGAATATACAGTTATAAAATATTAATAGTATATATTAAAGCTATTAATAAGCATATTAAAAATAATTTAGCTTACAGGCATCATAGACAAGCATCATTTGCTGCGGTCAGTGAGCGTGTGGGTTATCACTTTGATCAGCCTGCGTAGGAACCTGGTGTGTCTTCAGTCTTTGTTAAACTGTCCTATGGTTCAACATGACATGCATGTAGTCAAGCTACCAAAGCAGGGAAGTCATCCTTTCTGCAGAGGATCAAGATTGTGATGGCATATCTTTAGATTATCCTCAGGGATGTTTCCCAGACCATCACCAATAGCCCATTTTGCAGCTCCAGTGCTGCATAAATAAAGAATTACTACTCAAACTCAAACATTGTTGCCAAATAGTAGGTAAAAATGCTTTGTCAATGGATTAAATCATACAGTAGTTATTGATAAAAGTTTAATTTTTAACAATGGGTGTAAAATATAAATATTTTCTCTTGATGTTACTTGCAAACTCTTCCTTGCGGAAAAAGGGTGATTGTTCATAATGATCCCATTGAAACTTTGCAAACGGCAATAAAAACAATGATCTTTTCTTGGTTGTTTTCCCCCAATACTATATCACTCAATTTGATCCCTTGTGTTAATTTCCATGCTTGTATTTTTAGGCTTACAAAGTTCCTGGTTACAAAGGCCAGATAGGATTTATCACTTCTATGACAGAGAATTTCTGTAGTTCCTGTAATCGCCTTCGAATTACAGCAGATGGTAATTTAAAGGTAAGCCACTGCATAAAAGTTTCCAGTCATATAACTTTTCACAAAATAGTTCAGAATTAAAGCTCTACTTTCTTTTTAAATAATATAGGAAGTAGTTTTCTTTTCTTTTAGCAAGAAATAAATGATAATTTGAAGAAAACTTTCAATATAAATGAAGCAATTTATTTGAATTTTGCAGTTTACTAAGTTACTAGTGCCCATAAAAGTGTTAATTACTAGTGAAATCATAAAATAATGCCAACTTATTCCTTCTTTAGATAGGACTATAACCTAATTTTACTTAACTAACAGTGCATTTACGTGTGAAAAAAAAACAAACTTTAAATCGAAGATTGGTAAGCAATTAAAAACCGTATAACAAATAATCTCCTCTAAGTTTAAACATACAATCTTCCAATATACAAAGTAGGATTTCCAGAAGTGGTCCAGTAATTTCCACTTCCTATAATGTACTTTTCATACCTATAATGTACTTTATGTACTTATTATGACTGTAAAAGTTACAGAAACAGTTTTTAAAATTCTCGTTTGAAGTGTTCATTAATTAGGACATTCTCAATGTCTTTGATAACGTTAAGATTAAAGAAATAATCCCAAGAAACTAAATTAGAAAGACACACATATAAAATTAATTTGCTTCACAGTATAATGAGAATAGTTATAGGAGTCAAGTATGTTACTAACATTCAAAAATAAGCACTCATTTTCAAGACTTCTCAGACATGAATGAGGATAACAAACAAGATTTAAAACGTTTTCTGCTTCAAATTTCTTTTGTTATCTTTATTCACATATGGTAAATGTTGAAGATGGATGCCGATTTCTGATCGCTAGAAATATGCTGATTCTTATAACCATCTTCATATAATTTGAAGCAAATTAAATTTTTATTTTATCAAGGGTTTAAAAATGTTTAGGACATTAAGAGTGTACAAATTTATAACTATTCTTAAAAAGGTCTTTAAAAATTGCTTCTGAAGCTTTTATATCCAAATAGTGGCGGTGGAGTTTTCTTAGAATAATATTAATAAGTCATGAATATTTTGTCTGCAATTTTAAGTTAGCACAATTAAATCAATGTGGATAATTATCGGAGATTTCGTTGATAGCAGTTATATGAAAATTATTAGATTGTTTATCTTATGAAGTTTTAGGTTTTCTTTATATTTAAAAATAGATTTTTGTTTTATATTTTGTTATTTTTATATTTATTATCAAATTTTTTATTCCTAACATATGAGCAGAAAGCCACATTAAAATGATGTAAATTATTTTTATTTCGATACAATTTAAATGCAATTTGGACTGGGAGTGCTGCAATGTGAGGTGTACTGTAAGTTGCCTATAAATTTATGTAAGTTTATCAATATGTAAGTAATGTATGAAAGTGTCTGTAATGAATGCATCCTTAATATGACCCTTTAAACTCTTTTGATTCTAAACTTTAGGTGTGCCTCTTTGGGAATAAGGAAGTCTCTCTCCGAGATGCGTTGAGAGAGGGAGCTTCTGAGGAAAGCCTTCTTCAATTGATTTCAACTGCAGTGCTGTCTAAAAAGAAACAGCATGCAGGTAGGTCATTTTTAAACACAAAGATTCAGTATTTATAAGAGTAATTCTACCAAATTTGCTATAATGTGTAAAATAAACCAAAAATCTTAAAGGGAAGGTAAAAAGTAAGTTTTGGTTTCAGCGTATCTCCAGGGACACATAATTTTGCATAGTGAGAAGAAAAAAGAGAGAGAATTACTAGCATTTTATGTTGGCGAACTTTCAATATAGAATATAATTAATTTTTTTTTTATGAACAGTTGAAGGTGAAGATAAGAATAATTCTGGGTAACAAATTTTATTGTTGCCCACCCTTGATGCAGTCAGGGTGATTGCATTCCGAGTTTTTGTTTCATTTGTCTGGGACTAAAAACAGGGCATGTTTAGTTTTCGTGAATATTGCAGAATTCCGTCTGTCTCTAGATTATTGGTTCGCGGATTCCGCCAGTCAAATTTTTATAATTCAAAGAATTTTTGAAACTTTTGTTGTTGTTGACGTACGCCTGTTTAGGCAGAGGGGGTGCGATTGTTCTTGTTTCGCAGTGGCGCCATATATGGCAAAGAATTCGACTTCTGCCACACCATACGTCGCACCCGTTTATTGGGCGGACTCATTCATACACCCATTCATTCATCCACAGATCATAATTTTGACCTGAATCAGAGAAAAATCGATCTCCAATCCAGTACCCCCAGAGGTATTGATTTGTTATGGGAGCATGGAGGACTTTTGCTACTCGACAGATTTAACGTGCATCAGTCGAAAATGTTGCGATTCGTCTTTACATGATTTTGAAATCGTGCAGTGCGATTCCTATTCACGTGATTTAAAAAGAGGATGAAGAGATTTGTGTCTTAAATAGGGACTTGCTTTCAGTAAAAAGAGATTTAGAAATTAGGACCTCCTGGATTTTAAGAACTTTCCAAAGTTTTGCAAAATGTCTTAAAAAGTTTCGAAGAAATAAGATGTTTTAAATGAATGCCTTTTTCTTCAGAAGAAAGGACTAAGAGAGATATGCATGACAAAAAAAAACAAAAAAAAAGACAAATAGAAATTTTGAAAAGAAAATTCCTTTTTACTTAATATATACTTAGCTTTCTCTATCTGTTATCAAAAAGTGAAGGAAGGTGGGGGATTTGCCCTAACCCTGCTTTTCTAGGAGTTTAAAGAACATTTATTTACAAGATGTTTTAATTTTTTTAATAACTATAAAAAAATTATTTTAATTTTTAAAGTTTGAAAGCCTTGTCAATCATTGCAGATGAAATATTTTTTCATATGGATGAAATGTTTTACTACATAAATGGAATTGAAAAGAAGACTGTACAAAAATCCTTTTATAAATCAGAATTATAATAATAAGAAAATAAGATTTATTTGAAATTTTTTTTTATGAATGTTTAAAGGAAACACACATTTTCTCACTTCTAAGGGCTGTTAATATTGTTTATATAACATTTGAGCAAAAGCTCTAGAGTTTGATTTAAGGATCCCATAAAATCTAGCGATGGTTCTGACTTTGTACATGCTTTTAAGTTACATTAAAAATATATCTTACATGAATTAAATATCTAATGAATTAATCTAATTAAAATTGATTCTAGTCATTAGTTTCTATTTGATAGTGCTATTTTGTCTCATTGAAAAAACATACGAGCATTTATTTTCTTAATTTTTCAAATTAAATATGGATACTTTATTTAAATATTAACTGCTAATCATATATGTAATTTTTTTTTCTTTCATTCATAGGTATGTTTAATCTTCAAAAAATGAAAAATCGTCCAATGATTTTAATTGGTGGTTAAATTGGTTTTAGTTGTAAAAGTATGTAAAGATTTTTTTTATCTTCTTTGTTTACTTTTAAATGAATTATGTTGTTTCCACTTCTAAGCAAACTCAAATTAAACCATCAAATAATTTCTATTTATAATTTTTTTTCTCTTTTCAATTTACTAATTTTGAATCTGTTAAATAATTTTATTTTCATTTTAAAGTTGTAAAAGTTGCTTTAAATTGTTGGTTTAGTTAACATTATTAATTTTATTTTAAATTTATTAAAAATTATTTTTTTATTAAAAAAAATTGGTCTTTGTACGGGAAGTCTTGGTTTATTTGTATTTTTACCAATTTACATAAATAATGAAAGGCCAGAAATTAATTCTAACTATTTATTGAAAGAACAAAACACATATAAAATAAAACTAGAATAAAAGGGAAATACAAGAATTTGGAAGAGGGGATTTTGGGCTCGAATTAAACGTCCGTACTTAACGGCGGTTCCTAGCAGACTGTCTTAGTTCACAGCCAGAGGCGCTGTAGTGCGAGAAAGAGGAGAGTTTGTCACATCTTCTTATTCTAAATTGTTGTTAAATTTATTAGTTATAACTTGCAACCTTATTTTCAATGGGTTAAAATACTTTCTACATTACTTTTTTTTTAATTAAAAATTTAATACTCCTTTTCTTTTTTCATGTAATGTAATTTTCTGAACATTAACTACATTCAATTCTTGAAGCAAAAATAAATGTATATATATGATTAACAGTATTAACAAGAGAAAAATTTGTTTTCAATTAAATTTGATAATTCATTTTGTTGAATTATATAAGCTATACTTGGTCTTTTAATTTGTTTTTTTCTAAGCAGAACTTTTGTCATGTTGAAAATTTTTGTTTCGCTATTTGTGTTACAGTAAATATAGTTGGAAAAGGTTATTAAAAATAGGTTCATCGATCCTACCAATTTGACCTCATTTTGTGACAGCCTGAAATTCAGAAGTGCCGGGTAACATTAGCCAATAGTACTGGATAATGTTTTCAAAAAATAATTTTACAGCTAATAAACTAAACAATTTTAGAAAATAAGTTCTTTTTCATTTTTGTCTTCCTCATTTTTATCATTTATTTTATTTTACAGCAAGATGGTTAAAGTGTGCCAAATTAAGAACAAATCTTTATAGTTTTATTAATATACTAAAGAGTAACAAAACAGTGCCAAATTCATCAAACATGTACAGATTCTATAGCATTGATTCAAGGGATGATCCGATTCAAAAGCAACTAACTCATACAGACAAAAAGGGAGAACTAAATATGGTAGATGTGAGCTCAAAGCCAAAGACTGTGCGTATTGCTGAAGCAGAAGCGATTGTCCACCTCGGTAAAATCGCCTTTGAGCTTTTACAGCAAAATAAAATTAAAAAAGGTGATGTTCTGCCAGTTGCAAATGTAGCTGGCATAATGGCTGCAAAGAAAACCAGCGACATCATTCCTTTGTGTCATACCATCGAAACTGATTTCATTGAAATTAACTTTGAATTGAATTCTCTCAATTATGAGGTGGTCATTAAATCTAAAGTCAAAGCTGTTGATAAAACTGGTGTTGAAATGGAAGCCTTGACCTCAGCTACAGTAGCTGCTTTGACTATTTATGACATGTGTAAAGCTGTAACAAAGGACATTGTGATAAAATCAGTCAAATTATTGTATAAATCTGGGGGGAAAGAAACATTTATAAGGAAATGATATCTGAATATTTATTTTGAGAAAATTTTATCTTTATTGTATATAAAATAATATATTTTATTAAAAATTTTTATTATTAATGTTCTACGATTGTGTATATGTTTCTATTTAAATTTTATAAAAGGAAAGCTTTTGCTCCTTCGTGGAGTTGTCACCCCTTTGTGATTCCTCGTGACAGTTGGCTAGGATACTACACTATGGGTGTCATTCTTCATTTTGCAGATTTCCACTCCCTATGGAAGCAGGGAAAACTTGGAATTCTTTTGAAATTAGAAAATATCACTAAAAACTGGGATTCTTAGAGAATTCAAACATACTAAGGTAAAACCTGGGATTCTTAAGAAATTTGCACATATCATTGGAAAACCTGGGATTCTTTGGGAATTTGAACAACCAATGGGACATCTGAGATTCTCCGGGAATTTGAACATATCCCTGGAAAACGCAAGATTTCAAAATACCGCTTCATTATACCCATTTTTGGAATTTGAACAACTAATGGGACATCTGGCATTCTTAGGTAATTTGAACATTCCAATGGGACATCTTAGAATTTGAACATACCACTGGAAAAAAATGTGATAATGGGATTCTCAAGGAATTAGAACATATTTATATAAGTCTTTCAAAATATGGAATTTCAATAATTTAGGACAAAAATTCAGGGCTCGAAAAACTGCCCGTCCTCGGCGGTCAAAAATTCCCCTCGGGCAACGAATTTCTCGAATCCGACGTCCATTTTCCCGTTAGTGTTCGTGATACATTTTCAATTTTTATTATCTTACAAGAGTCCAACACCTCACTTCTAAAATGACCCTCTAATCTAGAAATACAGCAGCATACTGCGCATGGTGGAATTGATGTTTTCTCTGTCTGGGAGTACTGCAGCGGTTGAAAGGGGCTTTTCAGCAATGAACTTACAAAAAAACACATTACGTACTGGTCTTAAACAAGAAGCGTTAAACGCAATTATGAACATCTACCTAAATAGAAAACCCCTTTCAGATTTTTGTGCCGAAACCTCTGTAAATCATTGGCTTGATTGTGGAACTGGCCCCTGCTCATACCGTTA